GCAATTATTTTAATTTTTTAGAAGATTATCCCTGCTGTCCATAAGTAACTAGTTACTTTAGTGAAAGCAAATAGACTATGCCATCTATCACTTAAAATCACTTTCCAAGCTCTATTCCATAAAGCCTTTTTGGTAATTATATGCTGATTCATTTTTGGAAGAATTCTATTATAAGGTGCCATGAAATCACCCATTATGTGTACATGGATTATAAAGAATAGGGGATTAATAAATCACATTTTGGGGGATTTCACGTATGAACTTCTTGGCTGCTTATCAATTGCCATGGAACAAGTGAAATTAGTTCCACCATGATAGATAATTAATAATTGAGCCCCCAGTGGTGCAATGGGTTCAATCTTTGTGCTGGCAGGACTGCTGACTGAAAGCTCAGCTGTTTAAATCCGGGGAGCTGGATGAGCTCCCATCTGTCAGCTCCAGCTTCCCATGCGGGGGCATGAGAGAAGCCTCCCAATGAATGGTAAAACATCTGAGCATCCCCTGGACAACGTCCTTGCAGATGGCCCATTCTCTCACACCAGAAGCAATTTGCAGTTTCTCAACATGAAAAAAATTAATAAGCAGTGGCTGGCTTATTAACTGCTTATTAGACAGTTAAAATGCTGTAACTATATTCATAGCAGTTTCATGTTCACATTTACAATTTTGGCACCATTGCCATGACAACAAGTGCCTCTAAATCCCACCTTAAAAGACATGCAGCTGTACCAAGGACTGGAGGGGTTATTTTACCAGCAACGGAGTAACCAGGAGATGATGTGTCCATGTGGGCCTTGAGTTTGAGACATGTGTTTTAGTTGATCAGATTAAGGCACAGAGCGTACTTATGTGTCCCATGAAGGATTTCAGCCAGTGTTGTTAAAACAGGCATGAGCAAACTTTGGCCCTCTAGGTGTTTGGTACTTCAACTCCCACAATTCCTAATAGCATATCAGCTGTTAGGAATTGTGGGAGTTGAAGTCCAAAACACCTGGAGGGCCAAAGTTTGCTCATGACTGTGCTAAACTGTTGGTGAAAGTAAGGTGTTGTAAATTGTTAAGATCATCCGTCACATACATTTTATATGTTCTCTGATACCTTCCTGAAAAGAAATTAACATTTTAATCCTGACTTAATATTTGCATACAACAGCCATCATCTTTCAGTTTAATAATAAAGAAAAACAGCCACTGCCATAAATTAAAAAAGGGTTTCACTATTAGAGTTCTAGATAACACTATGGGGAAAATATTTTTTTAAAAGTGCCCCATGTGGTTTTGCAATTATACTTAATAGGAATCTTTTTCAAGGAACAATTCAATTATAGTACTATAATAAGAATCTTTGTTATCTATACAAGCCAAAATACTCTTGGGGGTAGGGGAGAGAAAAACACTTGTTATATTTTTAAGGAATGGTTATGCTGTGGTATTGCGAATTACTTTATTTGTAACTTGATTTTTTTGAAAATCTCCGGACTTTTGCTTATTGTGAATTGCGTGTGCATTTTTCGTACATTTCTGTACTTACAGTGGTGGAGAATAGTGTGGAGACCTAATAATAAAAAACCATTGGAGCTTGTGGAAGGAAAACAAAGTTTGCGTAGGAAAGGGAACATTTATTTCGAAAATATGAACACAGTATATTAGAGCCAATATTTTATTGGGCATGTATGACTGGACAGGAAAAATATTTTAAAAAAATAGTACAGTAGAGTCTTCCTTATCCAACCTTCGCTCATCCAACGTTCTGTATTATCCAACGCAGTCTGCCTCTCGGCCAGATCCATAGCTGTTTCAATACATTGCGATGTTTTGGTGATAAATTTGTAAATACAGTAATTACTACATAATGTTACCGTGTACTGATCTGCTTTTTCTGTCAATTTATTGTAAAACATGATGTTTTGGTGCTTAATTTGTAAAATAATAACTTAATTTGATGTTTAATCCCTCCTTATTATCCAACATTTTTGCTTATCCAACATTCCCTCCTTGGATAAGCGAGACTACTGTACTGCAATCCTATCCTATCTCTATTAGTCCCAATTTTAAGTCTTGTGTTCATTTGTTACATCTTTTTTTAGTTATGTGATCCCTAATTTGATGTAATGCCTCACTATTGCTTGGTGTTGTTCAATATGCTTTATTTGATTTATGGTTGTTTTATTTCTGGTTGCACTTTACGGCATTTAATGATTGCCGCTGTTTGCTATGAACCACCCTGAATCCCCATGGGGAGATAGGGCGGAATATAAATAAAGTTGTTTATTATTATTATTATTATTATTATTATTATTATTATTTAAGGGTATTTATAAGCAAGTTTCTCTCCTTTGAGAAACTTGCTTATAAATATGCTGACTATTACAATGTTTGTAAAAGCATAAAATGATTTATTTCCAGGCTTAAAATTGTTGGAATTCAACCCCACACTGCCCAAGTCTGCAGTCCTCAATGAGGAATAGTTAGCTTAGAATAGGCTGAGGGTGTCCCTCTCCCCCTATCTCCTGAATGACAATTGGAATCTTCTCTCCTCTGTTTCTGCCCTCATTTTGATTGGTTATGTAGAATGGATACTTTGCAGGTGCATGCGTTTTGTCTTTGAACTACTTTTCATCTCAGTGTGTTCTGTGAGTGTATTGAGATCTCTGTCTCTCTGCTTGTGTTTCAGGAGAGGTGTGTGCTTGGAGAATTCCCCCTCTCTTTTGAACTCTAGAGAGATGGAGTTAGAGTAGCTCAGACCCAGTTATTAACTATTATAGAAATGTAGTTATTATTTGTGTAAATAAACCTTTCGTAATCTTAAAGATTGAACCCTGCATCTTTGCCTGCCTAAGCTCTAAATTCTTTACAGCCACCTGGCACTTCATGCTCTGCTTGCTGTGAGCTGAATGCTCAACCATAAGTATCCTGTTTTGTGTTTATGGATGCTCTGCTGTATTTTGGGAGTTTTCTGTAATAGAAAATCCTTACAAAAATGCTGTCTCCTAACCAATTTTTATTACCATATCAGAAGCGAACCAAGGGTACAGTTGTAATGTATTTGAAAAACAAAAAGTTTTAAAAACTTGGCAATATACATTTGACCAGTAGCTGACCACTTGGAGTGCCTCTGGTGTTGCTATAAGAAGGTTCTCCATTGTGCATGTGGCAGGGCTGAGACTGCATTGTAATAGGTGGTCTGTGGTTTGCACTTCTCCACACTTGCATGTTGTGGACTCCACTTTGTGGCCCCATTTCTTAAAGTTGGCTCTGCATCTCATGGTGCCAGAGCGCAGTCTGTTCAGCACCTTCTAAGTCACCCAGTCTTCTGTGTGCCCGGGGGAGGGGGTCTCTCATTCCATATCGACCATGGCTTGAGGTTCTGGGTTTTAGCCTGCCACTTTTGGACTCTTACTTGCTGAGTATAGTCAAGTATATCTGTAGATCTTGATTTAAGGTATTAGTGTGCTGGCTGATATCTGAACAGTGGATGAGTCGGAGATGTCACTGCCTTGGTCCTTTCATTACTGGCTGCTACTTCTCGGTGGAGGTCAGGTGGTGCAATACTGGCTAAACAGTATAATTTCTCCTGTGTTGAAGGGTGTTAAGTTCCAGGACCACGCGCGAAAAGTGAAAATCTGCGAAGTAGGGAAGCTATATATGTATATCAAGTTCCGAGGGTGAAGCAGAAGCGAGGAAAGATTTAAAGGCACCTTGCACCTTTTTTTGCTAGCTAGCTCTGCTTTGCAATCTCTCTTGATTGGTTGTCTCTCTCCCAAGGAGGAAGGTAAAACCCCCTTCCACACTCCATCATTGCCAGGAGGCGGGATTAGAATGCCGCTCTGGGCAATGGCAACCATTCATAAACTGGGAGGCAAAAACCCGCAAAACAGTGAGTCCACGAAAAGCAAACCACGAAGTAGCGAGAGAACACTGTATTTGGGTGTGCTTCAATGCTGCAGTGGGATTCCTTCCCAGGTATTTATTTATTTATTTCAAACACTTTTACTCCACCCTTCTCAACCCCTAGTGGGGGGGGGGGGGAGAGGACTCAGGACAGCTTCCAATTGGCAACAATTCGATGTCACATAATAAAATACAAAACACCAATAATTATAATAGTTAAAAACATTAAAACATTAAAAACAATATACTTACAGTCTCCTGAACTATTACCAGTCTGGTGGCCATTATCTAGCCAAATTCTATGATTAAGTACTCCATTTAACTTATCCATAATCCATTTCCAAGCCATTGCAAACATTGTCATTTCTGCCTAATTACCCGAAGGCCTGGTCCCACATCCACGGGCCACCACCGAGAAGGCCCTGTCTCTTGTCCCCACCAAGTGTGTTTGAAACAGAGGCGGGACCGAGAGCAGGGCCTCCCCAGAAGATCTTAAACTCTGAGGTGGGACGTAAAAGGAGATACGTTTGGACAGGTATGCTGGACTGGAGCCGTATAGTAATCCTCAGTGCTCAAAATGCTTGTCTGTTCTTAAGGTGAAAAGCACACATCTGTGTTTTAGATGGATTAGAAATCAGCTGGTTTTCCCTGTAACAGGCAGAAAGAGCACCTAAAGCTTCTGAGAGCTTCAGTTCAACCATTTCAAAGCTCCCCACTTGGGTGGTGATGGCACGATCATCAGCAAATAGCACGATCCTAATCAAATGTGACCCACTGAGTCAACATTTATGTCAGTCTCACTGACTGAGTAGGCCTAGTCTAGCTGGGACTATTTACTTTAGGCTGTTATACCAATTTTATCTTAATTTGAAATAGTAATACCAGTTAAGTAAATATCACTACATTGCACAGTATGTGGAGGGAGGTTGGGGAGAAAGATGCCTTTCATATGGCATTTAAGAAAAGTGGTAAGAAAAAGTTAACATTAGAATAATATGCCAAAAGAAGAACCCCAAGCTGCTGATATATTTTAGAAAGCGTTAGAAAATCTTTCTTGTTACAGCTAAATATAATTAAACAGGTTAGGCAGACAAAAGAATGACATGTAGATTTGTTATCACAAGATTTTTTTTAATATGGTCTGTGACAAGCAATATCAAAGATGCCAACTCTCAAGCGCCATATTTGGAAAGCAAGACAACTTTCAGCAACGACACATTGTAGGCATATTGCAGTTTTAATTAAATATGAAAACATGAGCTGTGTACATTATTTTTCCCTAAAAAACCACAGCAATTTCAAAAAGTTTTTATTGTAAAATATTTCCATGAAATGAGTGAACCAGTAATACATGCACTTATGTGCCTTCCCCTCTGAAAACATATGTGACAAAAGAATATATAGAGTGACAGATGAGAAAAGTTGACTCGTGGTAGGACACAAGGGGCTGGGCTGCAGCATATAGGAAGCAATGCTGAACTCCCATTTCCTATGTCTGAACAATGGCAGGAGAAGGGGGAGAGGACCCGCACATCTTTAAACTTTCTATTTATGCTTAAATTTTGGAGAAAAATATTTTTTCCTATAATAAAATACATTTTTTAAATGTAACCTTTTCACCAGAAAATAATTCTGTAAGTCATCATTCTTCAGGGGCACGATAGGCAATTTCGTTTCAAGATCCTTCCCTCGGCTTCCCTCCCCCAAGTGGATCCATTACCTGAAGTGGTAAAGAGGAAGGTTGGGAAAAGGCAGAGCAGAATCTGCTTTGCAGAGAAAAAAGAAAAGTGCGCCTGGAAAGGAGCAGGTCAAGATGTGTGGTGGATAGAGAAGTGGTAATTAAAGGTCACTTTCGCCATAAAGGGCTGTGGAGAAAGACATGTAGTCCAGGGCACCAGGCACGGAATCCAGCCCGGTGTAAGGTGCCATTCTAGCAATGCAATATTCGGCTTGATCAGGAGGCAGCTCCCGTCGTAATTCATCCACAGTGATATAATTCTGCAAGAAGAAAAATAGAAACCGGGATGTTTTTTTCCATTCATTCCAACTGGCAGAGGCAAACACAATTTTATGAATACAACCGTGGCTTATTTGAATATTGAATATGAACATATAAGCATTTTGTTATTTCTCTACAGAGGGTTAGGAATGTTTCATACTCTGGGGTATTAGGGAGTACTACAGTAATGTAACTTTAATATTATAAAGTTTCGGCTTAAAAAAATAAAATACAACTGCATATTTAATACAAAAGGCTTTGTATCAATGAGACTTATCAATGTATTGATTTAACAATTTTTCAATGGGTTTACTCTATTTTGGGTAAACCAACAAGAAATTCTATGGGTTGCTGTGAGTGTTCCAGGCTGCATGGCCATGTTCCAGAAGCATTCTCTCCTGAGGTTTCACCCACATCTATGGCAGGCATCCTCAAAGGTTGTGAGGTTTGTTGGAAACTAGGCAAGTGGGGCTTATATATCTGTGAAATGTCCAGGGTGGGAGAAAGAACTCTTTGTCTGTTTGAGGCAAGTGTGAATGTTGCAATTGATCACCTTGATTAGCATTGAATAGCTTTGCAGCTTCAAAGCATGGCTGCTTCCTGCCTGAGGGAATCCTTAGTTGGGATGTGATTAGCTGGCCCTGATTGTTTCTTGTCTGGACTTCCCCTGCTTTTGACTGCTGCTGAAGAAACACAACCTAGAAACTATCTACAGATCTTCTAAGAAAATCCGACAAATGCTACTTTCAGCAAAAGAACAAGAGGGAACCTCTCACCTCTGCAGGAGTCTACCATATGCCATGCAGCTGTGGACAAGTCTATATTGGGACCACCAAACGCAGCATTGCCCAAATACGAATCAAGGAACATGAAAGGCACTGTAGACTAATTCAACTAGAGAAGTCAGTCATAGCAGAGCACTTGATGAACCAACCTGGACACAGCATCTTATTTGAGAACACAGAAATGCTGGACGACTCTAACAACTACCATGTCAGACTACACGGAGAAGCCATTGAAATCCACAAAAATGTGGACAATTTCAACAGAAAGGAAGAAACTACAAAAATGAACAAAATCTGGCTACCAGTATTAAAAAACTCTAAAATCAGGATGGTAAATAAAGAACAGCATTCAAAAACAGGGGAAGTCCAGACAAGAAACAATCAGGGCCGGCTAATCACCTCCCAACAAAGGATTCCCCCAGGCAGGAAGCAGCCAAGCTTTGAAGCTACAAGGCTATTCAATGCTAATCAATGTGCTCAATTGCAACATTCACACCTGCCTCAAGCAGACAAGAGTTCTTTTTCCCACCCTGGACATTCTACAGATAAACCCCATTTGCTTAGCTTCCAACAAACCTCACAACCTCTGAGGATGCCTGCCACAGATGTGGGTAAAACATCAGGAGAGAATGCTTCTGGAGCAACTCAGTGATTCTGGCCATGAAATTCTGTATTAGTTAGAGACACTGGGGAGATTTGAACACAAAGTTAAATATATTTACCAAGAAATTAATTTCTTAACCTTTGTACTGTATATGACTTTCAGTGCTATAATCGCTTCGTATTTATTATTTAGTATACAGCCTTACACCATGCAAGATCAATCTGTTAGTATCTTTTAAACTGTAGATGGTTCACTGTGGTTGCTAGAAATTCATAATTGCAAGTGTGTATAGGCAGAGACAAAATTCAAACTAGGGACTTCCTGATATATAGCTCATTCTCTTGGCCTCCGTGGTCAACACTGAATCACCCTGTTCCCCTTGTTCTAAGGATTATTTTTTAAAAAATTAAGTAAAGTATTTAAACCAATCTCTGTAAGATTTTTGCCAGATTTTTCCCAAGGCAGAAGTTGAAATCTAAACAATGTCATGCAACTCAGTTGTTCTGACGCATCACTAACTGGCTCCCCTTAAATACAACACTTATATCTAAGTCAACTGAGCAAGATTAAAGCCGTTTAAGATCTTGATTAGGCCTCTAGATCCAATGAACAGCTTCCCTCACCATTAAGGGATTAAAGGAGGAATCTGTAAGTAGAATAACTGAGATATAGAATTGTTTTCTCACTATTAATATGGTGACTTATGCCTACAAGCACTGAACAGACACCACAATCATAGCAAACAAACATTTCCAAGAATTGTGTCTTTTTCAATTGCATTTCTGCCAACCTGAAATCAAGCATAAACTTTATTTCAAGACTGCATTCACAACATTTCATTCTAAACTCACTTTATCTCCAGCCAGGATTTTGAATGAGGCCATAACCTGGTCAGCTGTATCAGTATCTGCTGTTTCCCGGGACATGAAGTCAATGAAGGCCTGGAAAGTCACTACTCCTATGCGATTGGGATCTACAATGCTCATGATTCGAGCAAATTCAGCTTCTCCCTAGAGAGTAAGACAAACATAAAAAAAATCAATCTACTAATGGCAAAATAGGATAAAAACATTTTTTTACATTTACATCCTTTGTTAGATAAACACATTAGCTAACTCTACTGCTTTCTATGTTTGTTGAACTATAGCCACTATCTTTCCCAGGCAACATGGGTCACTGGATGTTTACATTTAAAAAATTCCACACATTACAACTGGCTGTCTCATTACATAGGTCACAAGCACGTGTGTCATATAAATCAGCAACTCTTCAGTTTAGTTTGTTTTGTAATTCTTTTTTTTTATCCCTTATAATCCCTTCTTACAAAAATGGGAAAAATAAGAAAATATATATTTAAATATTAAAATTTATATCATTAGGACCTAGTGCCTAACTGTATGAATTTAATCACAAGTGATTCCACTAAATTCAATGAGACACACTCCCAAATAAGAAAAAAACGAGAGAAGAGGATATAATCGCACTTTTGTGACTCTCCGCCCTATTTCATTATAAACTTTAGTTATTTATTATTATTTGTTCTATGTATACCCCATCTTTTTCCACCCCGAAGGGGACTCAAGGCGGCTTACATATAGGCAATTATCAATGTCTTAAAACACATACAATTCCAGAAATATTAAAATTAAAATAAAATTAATACATATTAAGCATTTAAAATGTTTAAAAACATTACATTTGATATAAAATCTTTTCCAAGTAAGCATGAAATTTTAAGTTATACCATATTAGGTTCAGCTCAATTACAGATCAGTAAGCGGACCAAATATTAATGCTGATCTTTTCTGTATTTATACCCTGCCACCATCTGCCCGAAGGGGACTCGGGGCGGCTAACATGAGGCCAAGCCCAAAGATACAATACAGCAAAATAAAATACAAAATGCAGACAACAAAATTACATCAGAATAAAATACATACAGTAGCAAAATAAAATAAATAAAGCAAACTGACATAATATAAAATCGAACATAATGGGCAGGCCAAATGGATGAAGTAAAATGATAAAACCCTGGATGAGGTAGGAATAGAAAAAGTGTAATTGAGAGGAGCCCAAAAAGGATGAACAGAGGGGTTAGGCTTTCAGTTTAGGGTGGGGGGAAGTGCATCATTTCTATATTTCCATCCAAGGTAACTTATCATCCTGCTATGTGTGTATTTGAAATTTCTGTTAGGGCAGTCAGGTGGCAATGGAGTAGATATTGCTGGAGGGAATATGCAACATTAAAATAAGGCAAAATCCAATACTAGAGATCTGTTGGCCCAGGGCTTGTGGCAGGAAAGGTCCAGAGGCTCCTAATGCACCCATATTTTCGGTTTTATCTAAGATTTGTCCACTCTTAAAGGTCTCCAGCAACAATGGTTACTGGCCAACTTGGAGTTTTGGAGTGCGGTGCTATCTATACACAGATGACACTCAACTCTATCACTCCTTTCCATCTAATTCCAAGGAAGCAGTTCCCGTGTTAAACTGGTGCCAGGCAGCTGTAGTGGACTGGATGAGGGCAAACGAATTGAAGCTTAATCCAGACAAGACAGAAGTGTTCCTGTTCAGTTGTAAGACAGATCTGGAAATAGGAAGTCAGCCTGTGTTAGATGGGGGTAACACTCCCCCTGAAAACATTGGGGGTACTTGGATTTGGCTCTGAACTTGGAGGCCCAGGTATCAGCTTTTGCACAGTTAAAGCTAGTGAGCCAACTGCAGCTGTTCCTAGAGAAGTCAGATCTGGCCATGGTGATACATGCCTTGGTTACATTCCGATTGGACTACTGTAATGTGTTCTACATGGGGCTGCCTTTGAAAAGTGCTCAGAAACTTCACCTGGTCCAAAGAGCAGGAGCCAGACTGCTAACTGGACATGGCTACAGAGGGCATACCACTCCTCTGTTGTGACAGCTCCCCTGGTTGCCAACACGTTTCTGAGCACAATTCAAAGTGCTGGTTTTGACCTACAAAGCCCTATGTGGCTCTGGTCCAGGTTATCTGAAGGACTGCATCTTTTTCTATGAACCTTGGAGATATCGACGATCTACTGGAGAGAGTCTTCTCTCGGCCCCACCATCCGCACAAGCGCACCTGGGGGGAACATGGCATAGGGTCTTTTTTGGTGGTGGCTCCCAGGCTGTGGAAATCTCTCCCAAGAGAGACCAGGATGGCCTTCCACAAGCAGGTCAATACTTTTTTTTTATGTCTACAGGTATTTGAGGAAGGTGGATGGGATTGTGGGGGGGGGGGGGGAATGAGTTTTAAAGGCCAGTTTAGTGTATTTATTTACTGTATTTTAATTCTGTTTTTACCACATTTCTTTATAACTTTTGTATTGTGCCTTTTAAACTTGTTTAGTGTGGACTGTTAGCCGCCTTGAGTCTCCATGGGAAGAAAAGTGAGATATAAATAAAGTTAATAATAATAATAATAATAATAATAATAATAATAATAATTACTATTTAGAGCAGTGGTCCTCAGGTGTTTTGGCCTACAACTCCTAGAAATCCCAGCCAGTTTACCAGCTATTAGGATTTCTGGGAGTTGAAGGTCAAAACGTCTGGGGACCACCACTGATTTTCAGATTCAGATAATATTCTATTTTTAATTCCAGAATATAGTTTAAATCAAACAATCCAATTTGTTAATAAATTGTTGCCTGTTAACAAATGTGTCTTCTAGATACATTTGTGAGAAAAAGATGTTATGAAAGTCATGTTTATGTTTCAAAGTCATGGGACTGACACATCTTTACCTCCTTTATGAGATATATGCTCTTGTCTTTCTGAAGAGCTAAAATACCATTATGGATAGAATGACAGGTGCTGCTACATTACCATATTGTAACCAATGGAGATAAGGAAGGTGCGGAAATCTTCAGCATCCATCATGCCAGTCTTCTTCTACAAATAATAATTCAAGGATGGAGCAATGAAGAAACAAAGAAAGAGAAGTGGAAAGGAGATCAAGAGGAGATGAACTCATGAAGGATGTTACAAGGAATGGATTTGCATGAAGAAGGAATGGAAAACAGGATGAAATAAAACATTAGAATGTTTGGGAAAGAAGAGGAATGATATAGTCCATTGAAAATCAAGATGGGTATAGGAAAGTTTAAACATAGGCAAAAAGATAAAGAGTACAATAATATAAAACAAAATGTTTGAGGAATTTAGTAAATGAAATATATAAAGGAAAGATTTGAAAATGTATGGAAAGAAAAGAATGGAGTTGTGATAACACACACCGTTGTACATGGAAAAATGCACAACCATATACAAGGAGATTGACAACACATGGATTAAAACAAAAAAGAAGAGAGGGGGAAAATACGTTATTTTCTCATTGTTCAATATCTCAATACGTTCCCACTTGCATTCAGTACCTGTGCATCGTTTCCAATATCGTAACCCAAGCTGATGAGGCAGGCTTTGAATTCCTCAGGGCCAAGTGTGCCGGAGTGGTCCTGGTTATGCAGTGTGCCAGCCAGCCGGACATGCAGTGCCAGTGGAGTAGTGATAGAAGAGAAAGGAAAACAAAGAGAAGAGAGGGGAAAGGACAAGGGGAGGTGAAGAAATGAGGTGGTGCACCATGCAGTGGGTAAAGAGATGGTGGGGAGGGGAGAATGGCATGCAGGAAAAGACACGGGGGAAAATAAAAAGTGCACAAAGTTAGAATCTAGATTGATATTTCAGACTGTGCTAAATGCTCTTTTCTTTAAATGCACCAAGTTATCACAAACTATTACTATTCCTGCCAAAATGTCTACACTTTAACCATGCCTAGTTTGAAAACTTTGAAAACTGTTCTCTCTTTTTCTGACACTCAGTTGTATTTTTATCAGAGTTGACATAATTAATCAGTAACCTCCAGACTAGTGAAAAGCAGGCAAAGGCAATGGCATTTTTTTTACTAGAACCTTGCAATCAGGACAAGAAGATTTTTGGGTCTTGGGATTTTTGGATTTCTGGAATAAAGAGATATGGATTTACAAGGATACATTACTACAAATAGTAAACGAATTCCAAGTGTAGTCTACAGATTTATGTATGCAACAGGACTGAATGTCTGTGCTGCTTGAAATTCACTGAAAATTGAATGCACCCATATTAATATGTCCTCCATATCTTTGAGAGTGTTAGAAAAGGCTTCAGTTAGTAGTTATTGTGTGAATTCAAGTCATTTCCGACAAATGGCAACTTATCACCAGTTTTTTAAAAAGATTTATTCAGAAAAATAATTATCATTTGCTTTTTTCTGAGGTTGAGTGAGTGTGCTTTGCCAAAAGTCACAAGGTGGATTTCCATGGCCAAATAATGAGGATTCAAACCATGGTTTCCAGATTCACAGTACAGTGTTCAAACCACTACACTATTCTGGCTGTCTCATGGTGAATATAAGCATTAAAATACAGCTGTAAGAGAGTGGACTAAAGAGTGTTCACTTATTAGCTGAATTCTGTTTGCATAGCCACTCTATTAGTCATTCTTCCCTTGTATAGTTGCTGACCACAGTCTAGATGCAATTGCTTATACTGAAATTGTAGCATAATGGGGTATCATCTGTCTTTTTGAGGCAAAAACCATTCAGAGGGGAAAATGTGAAGTCCAGGAAGTGAGGCCAAGAGCAGGGGCCATCAGTGAATCCTAGATTCAACTGAATGCCAACAGCGCTACAATGTAAAACTCAGAACTTATTTTATGCTCAATGAGTTATAGGTTATTCTAAGTTCAATTCTATAGGTAATATATGAGAGCTTTGTTGTGACACGACATGTAAATAAATACATACATAATAAAAAGAACAAAACCCTGTGATCATTAGCTCATTCGGTTAGTTTTAGCAGAGGATTTTTTATTTATTATTTTGGGAAGGATCACTAAGCTAACAACTGACAATCCGTGAGGTGAGGTGCTCAAACATCCAAAAGCAGAAGCCCTCTGAGTTACACTTGTTCCTAATTCTCTCTTACCCTGTCGAAGTGGTTGAAAGAGGCACGGAATTCATTCATCTGTTCCTGGCTGATTCCTTTGGCATCTCGAGTTAGAATCTGGTTTTCCACCTCGTTAATAGTTCTAGCTATTGTTGTGAGGAGCTGCTCCCAGCCCACTCGGATGTGCTAGAAGAGAAAAGTGAAGGTGTTTACTCAAAATGTATACAGTCAAGAAAACTGTTTGAAATTTAGTAGGACAAACACAAGTCAGTCCACCTATGTTTTCCTTTAAGGAAAAATCACCTGGTGTGTAGCTCTTTATCCTTATTGTAATCTTAAGTAAGCACGGAATTCTTAATCAGGACTAGGAAAACAGTAGACAAGGAGAAAAGATTCAATCCTGCCCTTTCTACTGAATTGCAAGCAGCAAATACAAAGGAGTAAAAAATAAAACATAGCTCACTGACATAAAAGTTGTTCTTATTACCATTAGCAATGGTTGGGTTTCTGTGAGTTTTCCAGGCTATATGGCCATGTTCCAGAAGCTTGAGGATGCCTGCCATAGATGTGGGTGAAATGTCAGGAGATAATGCTTCTGGAACATGGCCCTACAGCCTGGAAAACTCACAGCAACCCAGTGATTCCGGCCATGAAAGCCTTTGACAACACATTAGCAATAGTATTTCTGTCTAGTATACCATATGTTGTCTGTGTGTGTGTGTGTGTGTGTGAGAGAGAGAGAGAGAGAGAGAAAGAGAGAGAGAGAGAGAAATAAGGCTTCCACAACACATATGTGGATGCTTACATTTATCTGAAAAATGTGGTAGATAACCTCTACAGCCCAAACACATGTGGTGCATCGGCAACTTTTCTCATCTTCAGAAAATTCACTGCCCTATGAAGCAAAGGTTAAGGCCTACCCCTATTCCATTCCCACTGAAGATTGCTGGAAGGCTGCATTCTTTCATGTCCCCACCCTGCTGCATCTGAATGCAGGGAAAGTGGGTGCATGGGGTAGCAGACCTGGACTGTCTTGCTGCTTGTTTGGTAAGGAAGTAGTAACCTGGTCCTGTTTGGAAAAGGCCATGTAGCGATGCTTGTTCCTACATAACAGCAGCATGGAGGGCAACAGCACCTTTAGAAGGTTGCAAAGGTGGCCTCCAAGGGACGTATTTGGTATATGGTCTCTCATGTTTTAGAATAAAACAAAAACCAAGAACTGTATGTGATTATTTTAATGCCATGTGCACTTTGATCCCATGATAATGAAAACAAGGAGCCGTTTCCTTAAAAAGAAGTCCTGTTTTGCTATGATGTCTGTAAAGATCCCTTACCTTGCCAGCCAGGGTGGCAGGGCCCAGGAAGAGACAGGCTAGGTAGTTCAGCTAGAAGGCCTGGCAGAGAGCTGCTGGAGCCATCTTAGTTTAGGGAAAAGCTCCAGTTCAGAAGGGGGAGTGGCCGAGGCCTGTGCCAGCCCAGCAACAGCCAGGATTGGTTTAGAAAGAGGGGCGGAGTTAGCCAGATGGAGGGAAAGAGAACAGATAGTTTTGACAGTTTTAGAGTTAGTTCAGCTGAGTTCTGAGTAGAGTAGAGAGCAGTTTTAGTTCTGAGAGAGATTAGAGTAGGAGTTGGATTGTTTAGGAGTCTCTGTTTAGAATAGGCAGCTTGCCTGTAGTTTGCACAGCACAGTAGGCTGTGGCAGACTGAGTTACAGCTATTTTAAGAAAGAAAATAGCTGGGTTTTTTATGTTTAAGAAATTGTAACTAAGAAAAGAACATTCTCTCAAGTAACCATTACGCTTATAAGTACCAAGAACACTTTTTATTGTAACCATCAAGCCTCTGAACTGCATTCTCGTGTTATTCTGTAATTTACAATCAATAAACTCTTTCTTGTTATTTTTAAACTTAAAGCCTGAGTCAAGTGCCATTTTTGGTTTTGAATCCTTTTCCTTTTTGAATCAACCTCTCCTGTTTTCCCCTCAGAGAAAGCCCTTGTTATTACACAGTTATTGGTGGAGCTAAAAACCTTCTAATAATTTAATCAGCCTTTTAACATTTTAAAAAATAGCTAGAGGGTTCGTGATTTCTTTAGTTTGGTGGCAGCGAAGGTTTTATACAACGTGACATCCCCTCAAGCACTATTAGAACCCAAAGTGGTGTGGATTTCTTATTTAAGGAAGGACGGTGGTGGGATTCTTTGCCCCCTGCCCAGACGCCACTTTTGAGTTATTATAATTGGTTTGCAGTGGTGGGATTTCTTTTATTGTTCCCCCCTGCCTTGATAAAGCTCGAAGGCCTTATAATGTCCACCAACAATCTTGGTAAGAATTTAATAACCTGTGTATCCTAACTACTCACTAGCTATCATAACAGAGAATCCTGACCATTGGACAGTCAGGTGGAAACTAATGTCTGTATTGCTGAAATTAAATCAGGTAGCTCATTTGTCAGTTGTCTACCTGACAGGTCTAGCAAGATGTGTTGCTTGTTAGCTAATGCTACCATTTTTAAAAAATAAAGAACAGTTTATAAAAGAGCAAGTCTGGCTAGTATAAAATCCTTGTTCCATCAGCAACAAGGCAGTCTGGAGTATGAAAAGGTGAAAACACATGGGTTATGGATGGAGCAAAAAAGACCATGACTTTATTGGCTCTAGTTCAGTGTTTCTTAACCTGGGGGTCGGGACCCCTGGGGGGGGGGGGTTGCAAGGGGGTGTCAGAGGGGTCGCCAAAGACCATAAAAAAACACAGTATTTTCTGTTGGTCGTGAGGTTCTGTGTAGGAAGTTTGGCCCAATTCTATCATTGGTAGGTTTCAGAATGCTCTTTGACTGTAGGTGAACTATAAATCCCAGCAACAACAACTCCCAAATGTTAAGGTTTATTTTCCCCAAACTCCACCAGTGTCCACATTTGGGCATATTGAGTATTCATGTCAAGTTTGGTCTAGATCAATCATTGTTTGAGTCCACAATGCTCTCTGGATGTAGGTGAACTACAACTCCAAAACTCAAGGTCAATGCCCACCAAACCTTTCCAGTATTTTCTGTCAGTCATGGGAGTTCTGTGTGCCAATTTGGTTCAATTCCATCGTTGGTGGAGTTCAGAATGCTCTTTGCTTGTAGGTTGACTATAAATCTCAGCAACTACAACTCCCAGATGACAAAATTAATCCCCCCAACCTCACCAGTATTCAAATTTGGGCGTATCGGGTATTTGTGCCAAATTTGTTCCAGTGAATGAAAATACATCCTGCACATCAGATATTTACATTATGATTCATAACAGTAGCAAAATGACAGTTGTGAAGTATCAACAAAAATAATTTTATGGCTGGGGGTCATCACCACATGAAGAACTGCATTAAGGGGTCGTGACATTAGGAAGGTTGAGAACCACTGCTCTAGTTATGTTCCCTGTTCTGCAGAACACTGATAGTGAGGAGGACAAAGGAGCATATTTTTATGTTCCCTAAGTGAGCAGTTGGGGAATTTCCTCTCACAGGTCTACATGGCACCCTTCTCACTTGCCCCAAAAGAACGTCAGCAACTAGCATGATCTATGTTGCTTCAAGAAAAAGCCATATCACATTGCAGGAGACAGAAGATCATTCTATGCCCTCAGGATGTATACTGGTAAAAAGGCAAACTAGGACTCATGTTTTGTATTCAAAAGCCAAACCCTGCCCTTTCCTTGGGTTTCTGTGTGATACTCCTAGAATTTTTCCACAGCGTTTACCTCCATGGTGTAGTTGGTGTGCTTATTATCAAAGATGAGTGCTTCCTGGATCTGTTGGTGATCTCCCTCCAGCTGATCAATCTTTGGTTTGTAGTTCACAATGCTTTTTTCATACTGCCGCAGGTGATTGAGCTGGTCCTCCAGTGTCCCATGCATCTCTATGGAGATACGGCCAATTTCCTGCATGAACCCAAAGGAAAAGTGGGCAAATGAGTGACAAGCTTCAGCACGTAGAGCGTTTACTTGCAGCTGTTTTGAACACAACTTAAAACACAGGCTTTTTAATCTCAAGGGAGCACAAGTCTAATTGAAGGCTTTCCAGAGGACAGGTAAACAGAACTTGGTGAGACTGTTATTGCTAGCATACATTATCTTAGCTGTATAGTTTACTATTGAGCCCAACTGTGGCATTGAGCGCCTGAATATCCTTCCACTATTTTTTACCACTGTTATTTCCAGCGGCACCTGCTGGTTTCCATGTTAATGGAATATGAATATTTTCTGGTGATTCTGAACCAGTGATTCTCAATCTTTGGTTCTCTAGACAACTGGGACTTCCTTTTCAAGTATCTCTGACCACTGGTAATGCCTACCCAGGCTTCTGGGAGTTGAAGTCCAAAATACATGGATGATCTAAGGTTGAAAGAACTGGTCTAAATTTTCAAAGAGCTTTTTAAAATACATGTTTTGGGGATAAGATTAAACACATTAGAAAGTTCATTTAAAGTTTAAACCTAAGGCTGGAGCAGATTTACATGGAAGTGACCAGCTACTCCCAACTGTTTCCTTCTTCTAAATTAAGACTGAGCTTAGTGAGCCCATATTAATGTCTGATAAACTCATCTGAAATAGTTGCTAATTCAAAGCCATATGCACTATGATCAGCAGTAGACTCCTCCAATTAAAAACAACAAAGACGTATTGGTACACATACACTAGAAGTATGCAGTTTCAAGCAGCTGTGATACACATATTTAGAAGCCAATGTGTAGCTAATCTGAATAGACCAAATCTGGAACAAGGACATACTGAACACGTAAAGCACAAAACAGTCCAAAAATACATGTCTAGTTATTTCTTAATGGATCCTGCCCAAACACCCCAAAATGTATTCTAAAGCTCTAAGTGAATCATTGCCAACATCACTCCTTGACAGAAACACAAAGGTGCTGATGTTCCAGGCAGCTCTAAGACGATTACTAGGGATGACAGGCAGAATTGTTGGTTCTACTGATGACAGTTAATGCAATTTTCCCAATTTATGGCAGTTGGATATTTGATTTTAAAAAACAATGCATTGCTAGTTTGAAGAAACAATTTGAGTTTAAAGACTGCAAGTGGGATTCCCCCCCCCCCCTTCTGTACTGTTAGTAGAAACCAGCAATTGAGGTATAGTTCCTTTGATTTTTACTCAAACTGGGATTGTAGGGATAAGGGTGAATCAGGAAAGTAGCATGAAAGCCCAGGGCCATCTCCTGATCACATGTTGGGATGGAAGGTAAAACGTTGCCTATGGACTATAAGTCAAAGAATCCCCTAGCCAGCATGGTGATATGATTCTTCCAAAAGCTCCCAAAATAAACTTTTTCTAGTTGTGACTGAATGAATCTTGACTGGATTCTAAGATACCTAAGCTAGGCTCCCATTAAGTCGTTATCAGAATTGTATTCAGAATATCCAATGGAGGCATGAAGAATCCTGTTAGTATTTCCAGTCCTGAGAAGGGATGCCTCACTACCCGTTACATCTTGAACCCCCCCCCCCCCCAATCAAGGAAAAGGAAACTGGCTGCAAGATTCTCATACCTTAGGACTTCACTGGGGGGAAACCAGTGTGCATAAATATACAAATGATTTCCCTGTTCAGAAAACATTCACCGATTCCTCCACAAAATATCTTCAAGAAATACATGTGGGTTTTTTGTGCAGCAAAAATGTAATTTGCACAAATTGTGAATTCAGAAAAACCATGTATATTTTTTTCTGCAGGTGTATTCTACGCAAAATGCAGAATTTCTGCAAGACTCAATACATTTTGTGTAAGATACACATTTTCTGTGCAAAAAAGGTCACCTGCACAGAAAAAAATACGTACTTTCACTCATATGAGCCTACTCCCCATTAAATTCCTTCAATATAAATTGTGCTTAAAAATGGCAAAGAAATCTTTATATGCTTACACAGTGGACAGAAAATTGCTGAAATTATTCATTCATGTATGGAGCATGAAATAAGAACTATTTCCCTCTCTAGGAACCATATTATGCAAAAGAAACACATGTAATTATTTTTTGGTATATTTGAGAAGTCCGCTGTGAGTTGGATCTTACACAGACATCAGCTTTCTACAGAGCTGTTAACATGCAGTGGAGGGCTGAATGAACCAGTGGCCACTACTTTGAAGTCTCATTGAGTTCAATGTCAAAATTAAGCACAAGATGTAATAAGTATTTAACGTTGGCATATCATGGCCTGAGGATGTAGAATAGCCTCTGCACCTGATGCTCTGCAGATAAATTGAAAGACAAACCTATTACCCCGCATTTTGTAGGTTGGATGCTGATGAGAGATGGAACATAGCTTTCTAAATTCCCAATGAGAATGAGATGGAGGAATGATGAGGGTTGTAGACAAACTTACTTAGAAAGTATCACATTTTTTTTACCTCCATCTTGGTTTGGATCCAGGGCCCAATTACATTGGCTTGAGCCCCAAACTGTTTGCGGAGTCTCTCATTATGCTGCTGGCGTGCGTGTTCTTCCATGAGCGCTTGATCCCGCCTGGGAACTAGTTGCCTCACCTTTAACCAAAACACAAAATTATATTTAACTCAATGGCTCTTAAGTACTCACATAAGGCATTGCCAGCTCTGAAACAAAATATATATCCTGTTCGACCTTAAATAAAATCCCACACCCTTCCTGCTCAATCTGGATTTTCAGTTTAAATGTTTCAGGCATTCACAAAATAAATCCTTCCCATTAATTAATTTTTATGAATAATCCAAAAGGAAAGACACCTGGGTTTGCACTTATAAACTCTTCTGATTACATTAATTACACAACCCTATAATGAAAAATCATTTTTCAATATTGTAGCTATTTTAAGGTAGTTTTGAGTGCTGAATTTAAGAAACACAATAAAAATATCATACTACATGAAGCAAAAAAGTGTGTTCTTTCACAAATGCAATGTTTTTATTAAATCAGCTGTTACCCAGTTATAATTAAGAGCAGATGCTGATGTTCCAGTGCTATTTCATTTAGTGCTTTTAAACTGATTTTTATGTTTCATATAAGCAAAATAAAGTATTTTGAAAGACTATTAGGCATCTTTAATCCCTTTACAAGGGTAAAGTCCTTGTACAGGCAGGACTGCTGACCAAAAAGTTAGCGGTTTGAAGCCAGGGAGCAGGGTGAGCTCCCGCCTGTCAGCTCCACCTTCTCATGCGAGGACATGAGAGACACCTCCCACGGGATGGTAAAATATCTGGGCGTCCCATGGGAAACGTCCTTGCAGATGGCCAATTCTCTCACATCAGAAGCGACTTGCAATTTCTCAAGTCACTCCTGACACGATAAAAACCCTCTTTACTCCCTAAAGAAATATTACCGAGTCACATACTACAAAATAAAAACATTAAAGCACATTTGGGGGAGGAAATGGGGGAACATGCACATGATGGTGCAAATCTGCACATATTTTAGAGAAGCTTTTATGATCCTCAATTTTGAAAGCTTCTGTTATTTTACAATGGTTGAGAATAAAACTCAGTTCAGAATTGTTTATAATCTGCTCTGAATCATTTGTCTGCAAAGCAAGAGATAAGTGGTAACTGCATGTGAACCTGGTATCCTGCACCAAGGAGATTTTATATTAAGGCTGCAATTCGATGGCCACTTACTTGGTAATAAGCCTTCTTTTGACATCAGAGGTTTACTCTTGAGGAATGTGACTAAACTGCTAATTAGATTCCCATGTATTTTGCTTTTCCACCCAATAATGGCCAAATCTTAAATGCTACTCACATGGTCCCATTTGCTGTTGATTTCTTGTGGATTGATGGTGGTGTAGGGGTTGGTTCCTGCCATGTTGACGTGGTAGGTCTGGACAATTTTGGACACTTCATTATGGATCCCTAGGATGGCCTGTCGTTCCTTGTCAGCATCTGGCAAGGTTGCTTTGAATTGTTCGTGAGCTGTGGTCAGTCCCTGAATGAAACAGATAAGATGAGAATAAAGAAAAAAAAGAAAAAAAGAAATAATAATAATAATAATAATAATAATATACATTATTTATATTCCATTCTATCTCCCCAAGGGGACTCAGAGTGGATTACGGGTACATATATGGCAAACATTCAATGCCTTTATACAATTGACAGAGACAGACAATACATAAATAGAGGCATGGCTTCCCTCTTTTCATCTCTGGCTGTGCTCGACTCGGTCATGGGGAGGTGCTGTTGTTTCATTTTCCACACCAAGGAGCCTGTCATCCATGGATTCCTTTCCTGATCGGATTTTTGCTGGCATGTTTTTCTGGGCACCCTATACCTTTACGCTAAAGTGGCACCTATTTATCTACTTATATTGTTGCTTTTGAAGAAAGAATGCAGTTCCCACAATAATACATATAGCATGCAAACAGTATGGAATAAGCGATGCCAGTAACACAAAGTTTGGGTATATTATATTTTGGATCTGCAGCTCCAGACTCTCTCAGCCAGTATGGCCATTGCATAACAGAATTGCCAAGTGACTCAAACAGTGTGCAGCACAAGAAAAAACAGCCTTTTCAACAGAATTTTAAAGATCTGTACAACTGTGCTGGAACAATGGAAGTTGATGTAGCGGAAAAAGGAGACCTCGAATTCGGCCTAATTCGGACCACCTATCAACATTAATAATCCCAAACCGGTCTCCTAAGGTAAATTGGTGTAACCAGGTGAGCGGGCCCTCTGGATTGAAGGTGGTGCTGCTGAACGCCAGATCTGTCAACGGAAAAACGACCTTTATCCAGGATCTAATCCTGGATGAGCGGGCAGATCTGGCGTGCATTACGGAGACCTGGCTAGATGAAGCTGGGGGGGTGAACCTGACCCAGCTTTGTCCCCCAGGGTTCTCCGTACAGCACCAACCGAGATCCGGAGGACGGGGAGGCGGGGTTGCAGTGGTCTATAGAGATTCCATCCATCTGACCAGGAGCCCCATCCCGCAGACCACAAATTTTTGAATGTGTCCACTTAAAGGTGGGTGACCGGGACAGAATAGGGATTCTGTTAGTGTACCGTCCACCTCGCTGCACTACAGTCTCCCTACCTGAGCTAGCGGGGGTAGTCTCGAGCCTGGCGTTGGAGCCTCAACGGCTTCTTGTGCTGGGAGACTTCAATATCCATGCCGAGGCGACCCTCACAGGAGCGGCTCAGGACTTCATGTCTGCCATGGCAACCATGGGGCTCTCCCAACAAATATCTGGCCCCACCCACTGTGCTGGACATACATTGGACTTGGTTTTCTGCAGGGATGGGAGCAAGGTGGCGGTGTGGAGGAGTTGTCCATCTCTCCGTTGCCATGGACTGACCACTTCCTGAACAGATTTAGGCTCACTGCGCCCCCTAACCTCTGCAGAGGTGGAGGACCCATTAAGATGGTCCGCCCCAGGAGGCTTATGGATCCGAATGGATTCCTGACGGCTCTTGGGGATTTTCCCGCCACCTCGGTAGGTGACCATGTCGAGGCCTTGGTCGCTCTCTGGAATGGGGAGATGGCCAGGGCAATTGACATGATCGCTCCGGAACGTCCCCTCTCAAGTAGCCGAGCTAAACCAGCCCCTTGGTTTACTGAGGAGCTGGCAGTGATGAAGCGAAGGAAGAGGGAACTAGAGAGCGTGTGGCGTTCGGACCCAAGCGAGTCAAATCGAGCACGGTTTGTGTCCTTTTTAAGGGCATATGCCGCGGCAATAAAGGCCGCAAAGAAAACTTTCTTTGCGGCCACTATTGCGTCTGCAAAGAACCGTCCGGCGGAGTTGTTTCGGATTGTCAGAGGCCTTTTAACTCCCGCCACCTCAGGCGGGAGCCCTGACAATTCGGTCACGCGCTGTGAAGCATTTGCTCGGTTCTTTGCAGACAAAGTCGCTTTGATCCGTTCTGGTCTGGACACCATGTAAATGCAGTCTCAGAGGATGTGACACGAGCACCTGCTTGTCCTATTTTGATGGATTCTTTTCAGTTTGTGAAGCCCGAGGATGTGGACAAGATACTTGGAGGAATGAGGCCCACCACGTCCATCCTAGACCCCTGCCCATCCTGGCTTCTGAAGGAGGCCAGAGGGGGATTGGCTGTGTGGGTAACGGTGGTGGTTAATGCCTCCCTTCGGGAAGGCAAGATTCCAGCGTGCTTAAAACAAGCAATTATAAAACCGCTGTTGAAGAAACCATCACTGGACCCCACTAAATTCGACAACTTTCGGCCTGTTTCCAATCTCCCCTTTTTGGGCAAAGTCATGGAAAGCGTGGTGGCCTCACAACTCCAGGTATTCTTGAGAGACACGGATATTCTGGATCCGGCACAGTCTGGTTTCAGACCGGGACATGGAACCGAGACGGTCTTGGTCGCCTTAGTGGATGATCTGCGCCGGGAGCTAGACAGGGGGAGTGTGTCCCTGTTGGTGCTCCTGGACCTCTCAGCGGCCTTCGATACCGTTGACCACGGTATCCTTCTGGGGCGCCTTGCGGAAATGGGTCTTGGGGGCATTGCTCTGCAGTGGCTCCGGTCATTTCTGGAGGGTCGCACCCAGAAGGTGTTGTTGGGGGACAACTGCTCGTCCTCACAACCATTGTCTTGTGGGGTCCCGCAGGGTTCAATACTGTCCCCCATGTTGTTTAACATCTACATGAAGCCGCTGGGGGAGATCATCCGGAGTTTCGGGGTGCGGTGTTATCTGTACGCAGATGATGTCCAACTCTGTCACTCTTTTCCACCCACTACTAAGGAGGCTGTTCAGGTCCTGAACCGGTGCTTGGCCGCTGTGACAGGCTGGATGAGGGTGAGCAAACTGAAGTTGAATCCAGACAAGACAGAGGTCCCCCTGGTCAGTCGCAAGGCCGTACAGGGTATAGGGTCACAGCCTGTGCTGGATGGAAGGGGTCACACTCCCCTTGAAGGCACAGGTTCGCAGCTTGGGGGTCCTCCTGGACTCATCGCTGAGCCTGGAATCCCAGGTTGCAGCGGTGGCCAGGGGAGCTTTTGCACAATTAAAACCCGTGCGCCAGCTGCGCCCGTATCTTGGGAGGTTTGACTTGGCCACGGTGGTACACGCTCTGGTCACATCCCGCCTTGACTACTGCAACGCTCTCTACGTGGGGCTGCCCTTGAAGACGGCCCGGAAGCTTCAGCTAGTCCAGCGCGCGGCAGCCATGTTACTACCGGGAGCGGGACGCAGGGAGCACTACAACGCCCTTGTTGTCCCAGCTCCACTGGCTGCCGATTTGCTACCGGGCCCAATTTAAGGTGCTGGTGTTATCCTACAAAGCCCTAAACGGTTCCGGCCCAAAATACCTCTCGGACCGCATCTTGGCCTATGAGCCCACGAGGACCTTGAGATCGTCTGGGGAGGCCCTTCTCTCGATCCCGCCTGCCTCACAGGCACGTCTGGCGGGGACGAGAGAGAGGGCCTTCTCAGTGGTGGCCCCCCGGCTGTGGAACACCCTCCCTGTTGACATCAGACAGGCGCCCTTCTTATGGCTTTCCGGAAGAGCCTAAAGACCTGGCTATTCGAGAAGGCATTTAACTAGTCCCAGACTAACTGACAATGACAATGACAATCGGAACGAAATACGGATTATGAGACTGGTAGATCCCTATGTGGTGACGGTGCGGATTAGTTTAGTGTAATTTAGATTAAGCGTGTTATATGGTTTGTTGATATACTCTGTGTTTTTTGTAAACTGTTTTTATATGTTGTACACCGCCGCGAGTCGCCCTAGGGCTGAGAGCGGCGGTCAACAAATGCATTAAATAAATAAATAAATAAATAAAGCTTTTCACAATATGACAGCTGAAGAATATATTGAGGAGGTTTAAACAAAGGATTACATGTACAGTATATCATTTTTTAAAAAAAAAATGATCTTCTTTAAAATATTCTTGAAAGCTGATTCATTAGTTAAGGGTAGGGATAAAGAATGCTCCTAATCCTTTTAGAATAATTTTAATACAGTGTGCATGTTATTAAACCCATCTTACCCACATATTTATTCTAGGAAAAACTAAACAACATCTATCAAATTTGCCAAACAAGGTTCTTAAATCAGGGCAACCACAACTTACCAATAACCTATTGGTGCCTGCCAAACGCTTGCTGTAAGGAGGTATGCTGTTCTTATCTGCCATCACATCCATTTTGATTTATGGAAATTCTCTGAATGAGAAATTTCCAAGATCATCACCAACTGGCCTGCTCAGATCTTGTAAATTCAAGACTATCACTTCCTTGATTGACTCAATCTGCTTGTACTGAGATCGCCCTCATTTTACCACTTCCACTTTACCATGCATTGCCATCTTTTCCAATGAGTCATGTTGTCTCATGATACATCCAAAGTTTGACAGCCTCAGATTAGTTATTTTGGCTTCTAGGGAGAGCTCAGGCTTTGTTTGCACTAAAATCCATTTATTTCTCCTTTTAATGTGCACGTTATCTGCAGAACACTATTCTAGCACAAGATTGAGTTGATTTTCCTTATGTCAGTTTTCATCACTGTCCAGCTTTCACTATCATATATAGAAATCAGAAATATTATGATTCCAAGTATGGTATTTAATTATATTTCTTTACACTTGAGAGGCACGAACTATGCAATACTACTCCTAAATACGCAATTCTCCTTGTCCTGTTAAGCTTATGCTAGATCTGTGACTAATAGGCTAGATGTATCTATTAAAACGCAAGAATACGTCAAACTAGACATGCATATACATGGTTTCTCGAAAGAGGTTTTAAGTTCCTGCTTATATCAATGAACAAACACTCATGACTGTTCTGACTATGATCCACTCATTGAGGTCTGTCCATGCAGCACTCCACAAACACTAGGTCTTCTCAAAACTCTGGATATTATTTTTAAGGGAATGAATCAGCCCTTGTCACTCATACCTGGTGTTTAAAAAGAGGGATGAATTATGTGACTCATTAATAATGCATTGCTTTTAAATTAATCATTTTTCCAAGGATACATTTACATGTAATCCCTCCAAAACTTCCTGAAAACATGTTCAAGTGATAGCAACATTATTCAAAATTATTAGTACGGTTTTATATTTATAAACCTAAAGATAAACTTAAAGATAAAGATAAAGGCATTAAAAAATTAGCAACTCATGCTGTTTCTTGTAATTAATTCTTTCTGAGGCCTGGGATGAATGGAGAAGGTGGAACCTACCTTTGGTGACACATGATTTGGTGTAGAAAGGCTGATATAAGCCACTGATTAGTCATTCAGAGAATGTATACCCTCAAAGGGACAGGCAAAATACATCCATTTTATGGACACTTGTTGGTTTTGGAAAAGGATAGGTTATACAATGATAAGTAGTTCTTAAATCAGCTGATGTTTAAGCATCATAGGAAGGATAAAACTAAAAGTTAGCTGGCTGAGACATTCTGGCACTTTCTTGCTGGTTTGATGGATTATAGAAGTTGTAGTTCCCAAAAATAATTTCCTCAAGTTTCCTCAAGTGGCACCGGGAGTGTCAGCTGCATTAAGATCACTCTGACCAAAAAGTCATGAGTTCGAAGCCAGCCCGGGCTGGCATGGGTGTCCAGCCATTGTGTAGCCTGTTGTCGACCTTTGCAACCCGAAAGACAGTTGCATCTGTCAAGTAGGAAAATAAGGTACCACCTTGTGTGGGAGGCGAAATTAACTAATTTATGAGGCCATAAAGAAAACTCCAGGATGTGGAATGCGGAAGAACTTCATCAGTGTCGCTGATGGACGATGAAAGCAGCAGCTCCCCTGGCGGCCAGAAAAAAAGTTAAATAGCCTCTGTGTATTGTCTGTATTCGTTGTCTGTTAAACTGGCATTGAATGTTTGCCATATATGTGTATACTAGGATTGGGTAACAACGGAAAAATTTGTTTCTAAACTCGTTTCGTTTTTAGTGGTCAATCGCATTTCGTTTTTTTAAAGAATTCCGTAATTTTCCTTTTAAAATTTTTGAAATTTTGTAAAATTATGAATCGATTCGTTAATGGCGGACGCGATTGCGCAATATGCTAAAAAAAACCCTCCAAATGGGACAGGGGCAACTTCTGAAGCTTCCCTCTCCCTCTGTTGTTGACTGTTGGTGTGATAATTTATTTTTTATCACTGATAAAACAAACAACTATAAAACTTGCACCAGACATACGGAAATAATTACAAAACAATTTTGAAACAATTTTGAACCAATTACGAAACAATTACGAAACAATACAAAATACATTGGAAAAATTGTTTCGATTTTTAATTATTCCTCACAGTAGTCCTGCATAGCTCAATATTGGATCGTAAGCTAATTTAAATACGAATTAATAACGAATTACGAAATTAACGAACGAAACCGCCCAAGCCTAGTGTATACTGTAATCCGCCCTGAATCCCCTGCGGGGTGAGAAGGGCGGAATATAAAAACTGTAAATAAAATAAATAATTAATAATAAATAAATAAGACAGGGATGGCTAATCCAGCGAGAGTGAGACTATATTTACCTGGATCTCCTCAATGGTATGGACTATGAAGGTGTCCTGAAGATCTTCCATGGCCCCCTCCATCCAGTTATTGAAAGGGGCTGCACGCTTGGCATATTCTAGGTACAACTGGTCAATTGTCTCCAGGAGTTTTTCTGTTCTCTATGAAATCCCCACAAAAACAGAAAGGCATGTAAACATCATACACGGATTGTTTTCAATTTATATAATGCCTTTTAAAACAATTCATTATCTTAACCCCTTCCTTCCTTTTTTTGGCTTTTGAGCCTATCTGACTTGCTGTTTTAACGTTTTGAAAGGATAACTTTTGGCATTCAAAACATTACAAATTCCTTTTCTCAAGTGGTTCTTCTTACACAATGTAACAAAATTTGAAAAAAAAATCTGTTCTTGATTTGAAAGTACTATTTCCTGTTTAATTGTGCAGTACTTAACTTTGAAAGTAGTTGTTATACTCCAGAAACTTCATTTTTGTGGCTGCCACAGTTCAACTAATGTTTAATTAAGACTCTATGAGATATTTATTGAAAAACTATAGTAAAATGTGCTGCAGGATGTCCTGCAAAAACCATACACACCACTCTCAACTCCTTGTAAGAAGGATGGGATATTAAAATAATAAATAAATTAGCAATATGCATCATAATCTGGAACGGTTCTTCCCTGGCATTTTTTTAAAAAAATTCAAGATTGTTTATATAGAAATCAGTTTAAATATATATAGTGAGGACCATTAGAAAAATAATCAGTCTTAAAGACTGAAAAGGCAGTAGGTGTTAAGAGCAAAACTAAACCTACCACAGGGGAAAATACATTTGAGGGACAAGTGTCTCTCACCTCCAATGCTTCTCGTCGTTTCTGGGTCAGCGCTCCAAGGTTATCCCACTGGTCACATATTTTCTGACATCTGGCATTGACACTTGGTGAATCATAATAGTCCAGCTCACTAGCAAAAACAAATTAGAAAGAAATTAACAGGCAGATGAACTGGAGTCTGTTAATTCAAATGTCCCCATAGAACAGTGTAAATTGACTTTCCCCAATTTGATGCTCTCCAGCCATGTCAGACTGCAATTCATTAACACCAACCCCACAGCTAGCATGGTCAATTTATGGCAGACCAACAAACCTGGAAAGCTCCAGGTTGGCAAGAATTGGTACAAATAATTGAAATTACAAAAAACATTGCTGGATCAGATCAAAAGTCCACTTATCCTGCCATTTTGTTCCCAACACAAGTCAGTTGGGACTTGAAGGCAGCAGATTTCTACTCTCTCCCCTTTCCTCCCAAAACAGGTTTCTAAGAGGTGCTTTGCTTGTGTGCCACTATGTTGCTGATAAATTTATTCTCTGTAGAAAAAAACAATCCCCCTTTAAAGGCATGAAAACCAGCATGCCTTAACATTTTCGAAGAGTAGAAATTTCACAAATTTAACGAGGCACTGTGGGATGAAGTGCTCTTTCTCTTTGTCTATTCTGATCAGAATATAAAAAATATATTTTTGATTACAGCTCTCAGATTTCCCCAGCCACCATGTCCAGTAGCCATGCTGGCGGGGGAATTCTTGGAACTGGAGTCTCCTCAAAGTAAATTTTTGACTCTCTGATTCTGTTTCTTGCCAGTCATCTGTTGATAGATTTATCTTATGCGGAGGAAAATAATCCTCTTTCAAAGTCATCCAGCCGTCAAAAAGAACAGCCACCAGGAATTACTGAGATAGTGAATTCCTCAAAATAATGATGCTCTGTGGAATAAGTTTGTTTTGGTCATTCATTTTTAGGTTCGTAAGAGGAGACACGTTCAGACAGGTAAGTTGGGCCGGAACCATTTAGGGCTTTATAGGCTAAAGCTAGCACATGTTGCCGAATGACAAATCGCAGCAGTTCTTGCCAGGATAGCCAATGTAGAAGAATGGGTTGTTGTAGGTTTTTCAGGCTGTATGGTCATGTTCTAGCAGCATTATCTCCTGATATTTCCCCTGCATCTATGGCAGGCATCCTCAGAAGTTGTGAGGTGTTTGCATGACCTCACAACTTCTGAGGATGCCTGCCACAGATACAGGTGGAACGTCAGGAGATAATGCTTCTAGAACAGTGGTTCTCAACCCTCCTAATGCTGCGACCCCTTAATACAGATCCTCATGTTGTGGTGACCCCCAACTAATTGAACTAAATTGAACTAAACTTGGCATACAGAACTCCCATTACTAATAGAAAATACTGGAAGGATTTGATGGGCATTGAGTTTTGGAGTTGTAGTTCACCGATATCCAGAGAGCACAGTGGACTCAAACAATGATCAATCTGGACCAAACTTGGCATGAATGCTCAATATGGCCAAATGTGAACAGTGGTGGAGTTTGGTGAAAATAGATCTTGACATTTGGGAGCTATAGTTGCTGGGATTTAAGCCAAACAGGATCACAAGTCTGACTAACTACTGAAACACCACTGGCTGGTTATGCCCCCTCCCCTAAAGGAAGCCCACGAGCTCCACCAAAGCCATACTTGAGTTCTTGTGCAATAGCAGCAATCTGTTCCACACGGTCCTGGTGAGCAGCGAGGTCGCTCTCAAATGCTTCGTGTTTCTTTAGCAGGGCCTTGATCTCCGAGAGTGTGGCAGTTTCATAGTCTTTCTGCTGCAACATGGCCTCTTTACCTACAGGGGGACCCCAAAGACAGCAAGTGAGCCATGAGCCAGACACCGATTGAGCTTATATAGACCATTCCATGACATGAATTCCACTATTTGTTACTATGAGAGTGGAAGGAAGAAACAATCCCCAGAAATATTACTTTGGAGTAATAAAGTAATATTTCCAAGGCTTTAAATTATTGTACAGATGATGTTTTAGTGGAGTGATTTGTACTACTACATGGTTTGGGTTCAGGTTACCTAAAGGATCTCCCATACAATCCGCCCCTGAATGGCAACCACCACCCAGAGGACCTTTTCATCGGCCACCCCAAGACTGTGGAAAGACCTGCCAGTAGAGCTCCGACAGCTGTCAGAATTTAAGACACAAGTGAAGACCTGCCTCTTCCAGCAGGCCTACCCAGACAGTCTTTAAACATAAAAATGAATTCTTTATTTATTCTCTGTTTTTGTCTGTTTTAATATGTATTTCATAGAGATATGTTTTGGTATGTAACTTTTATGGAGGCATGTTTTAGTGTGTGTATTTGTAGTGTTTTTTGCCTTGTTTATGTATTTTAATTGTTTTGTAACCTGCCCCAAGCTATAAGAAGAGGTGGGTAAGAAATAAAATTATAGTTATAATTATAATTATAATTATAATTATTGCTCTGAACAAGTTTGATAAGGTTGTGTGTCCCTCACCCAAAATGCCTGGGACCAGAAATGTTTTCAAGGTTTTTTTTTTGGATTTTAGAACACCTGTATTTACATATATAATCTATATACATATATAAACCAGGCCCCCTGATGGCACAGTGGGTTAAACTGCTGAGCTGCTGAACTTGCTGACCAAAAGGTTGGCAATTTGAATCCAGGGAGTGGTATGAGTAGATCAATAGGAATCGCTTCTGCAGGAAGGTAACGGCACTCCATACAGTCATGCTGACAACATGGTCATGGAGGTGTCTACATACAACGGCAGCTCTTTAGCTTAGAAATGGAGATGAGCACCCACCCCCGAGTCAGACACGACTAGACTTAATGTCAGGGGAAACCTCTCCCTTTACATTATATAATCAGGCTGGTTCTACACAAACCATACAACACAGTTTGAACTACACTGAACAGAATTCTAATGTAAAACTATATAATGCAGTTCAAACTGTATTATATGGTCAGTGTAGAACCAGTTTTAACATGAATCCAAGTCCAAACCTGAAATTCATATATGTCTCATATACACCTTGTACCCATAGTCTGTAGGTAATTTTATACATTTGAAATAATCTTTTGCATGAAGTATAGTTCGAGAGCTAAAGTGTCGCTATCTCAGTCACCCTTATGGACAATTATGGCTTTTGGAGTATTTTTGGATTTCAGAATTCTACATAAGGGAAACTCAATCTGTGTTATGAAGCAAATTTAAAGGCAGTATCTTTATGCTACAAATAACTAATCCATGTTCTTTTCAAGAACCTTTCCCACCTTTCAAGCAGTGTATCGAGCTGGTATTACAAAAGAGAATTTTTTGTAATATCTCGTCAAATTTTTATTTATTTATTTTACAATACATACTATCTTTTATAATATAAATTAAAACAATTTAAAATGTAAGACAATATAAATTCACAATTAAAAAATATCAAGCATTGTATAATTTAAAAACATGTTACCACAATGTAACGTGTTATGGAGTTTCCCAAACCTTCTCCATTTTGGTCAGATACTTGCATGTGACTCAATCTGGTCATAGGAGCTCTAGGGACATAGGATTGGACTGCTTCCCTGCTGTCTCTCTGATGGACCGCAATCCATAAGATGGATATTGCTCATGACTCCTTTGAGTCATAGAGTTGGAAGAGACCTTGTGGGCCATCCAGTCCAACCCCCTGCCAAGAAGCAGAAAAACTGCATTCTTGACATCTGCCTTCAGTAACCACCATAATGAGTACATTACAGCTTTGTTCATTTTTAATGCATGACTTAGTGCCTTGCTATCTGTCTGAGAATCTGGTCCAATTATTTGAATTATAATGATTATATATCATTATGCAGGAAAATGTACTGACATATGTTCTGCATCTGCTCTCTCTATATATAGATTTTATAATCAGAAATAGAATTTTATGAGCAATCTATTGGCCTTGAGTGTCATACTAGGAGAAGGGGAAAAAAGAAGTAGGAAGAGAGAGAGAGATAAGAGTCATGATGATACACACATACATCAAAACACATACTCCACCCCCCCCCCCCCGAGTGTGATAATCATGGCTAATAGATTGCTCATAAAATTCTTTTTCTGACAATAACATTCATTTCAGTACACCACAAAGAAAAATTAGACCTGCCAATGGGAAATATTTACCTTCTGTCCAAGATTCATGAATGCAAGCTTTTTGCCGGAACTTCTCCGCCAGGTGATCCAGCCGTTCTAGTCTTCTAATGTCATTCAAAAGCCATTCTTCAAAGCCCTTCTCAGCCTGTTCCAGGCAACCCCATGCATTATTTATATCCTGTAGCAATCAAAGCAGAAGCACAACACTATCAGAAAAGGATAGGAGTTCAAAACTGAAATAATTCTGAATCCTCATTTTCTGTGTTGATCAGCCTGTATTAATGAACAGCATCTTACACCACAAAGAACTATGAACAGTATGTCTGTAACCTTCCTGATGTCTTGAACTACAAGCCTCACAATGTAAATTGAGCTTTGGAGAATTTAAGTGAAAAATACCTGGCGGGCCAAAGGATCTCCCTTATAAAAATTGGAAAATACATTACACTTTCCCCTCTTTACCTAAATTTATACAACGAATGACCGCCTCTTGAGATGATTCAGAGAATAGGCTTCCCCTAGTATCATGGTCACTGATTGTCCTCCAATTTTTCCCCCTGATGCAGTAGTACTCCAGTAACCAGTCATATATCTATTGGTAAGCATTTTTCATTTTTGCTACTGATGCTACTTTTATTTTGTTGTGTACTTTCAAATTATTTCTGACCTATCATGATTTTAAGGGAGACCTATCAGAGAGTTTTCTTACCAAGATTTGTTCAGAAGAGATGATTCATTGCTTTGCTCTGAGGCTGAGAGTGTGTGATTTGCTCAAGCTCACTCAGCAGGTTTCATGGGCTGAAAGGGTTTGAACCATAGCCTCCAGAGTTATAGTCCAAAGCTCAAACCATTACACCAAAGTGGTTCCTTATTGCTGCTATCACTGATATCTTAGTTCCTGGAATGTGATCTCCCCCCCCCCCCCCCCGTCTTGGCTTTGTCCCTTCTCTCTTGCCGCTCCATATCTTTGGAACTGTTCCCCAAAATATCTGCAGAACTGCTCCTTCACTAACAGAATTCAATAATGGTGATTAAAAGCCATTAGAATTCCACTTTAATTTTACTCTTTCAAATGTCATGATTATGAACATCAGACTATAAACATTATCTGAACTATTTGTTTCTCCTCTTTGGATTATCTGCCTTTTTCCCAGATATTTCATTCTTAATTGTAATTTATGCCTTTGACAGAGATGTATATTATTATTTTTGTACAGCACTGTCAACACCGATAATGTGACATAAATAAAGAACATAGACGAATCACTGTAGCACCTCTTTAACATCAATGTTTTATAGTAGTGTGTGCATGATTAGAAAGGATAAGAAACTGGCTCAAATTCAAGCTCAAAGTTTTAATTGGGATAACTCAGAGGATGCAATGAGGAATTCCACTGACTTTACAGTACTGGACACTAATAATGGTTTTCAATTTAACTGAAAATAGCAGCTGTAACTAAGCAGCTGTAATGTCTAGAAAATCATGTAAATTTGCACCGAATCCAAGAACCTAACACACTCACCGAGACCATTTTCCCTTCAGAAGGCATAAAGGCAGGCCTGTTGCTAAGTCGCAGCTTAGTTTGCAGGGTGTTGAAGTTGATTTCCAGCTGGCACTTCTCTTGGACTTTGGGAGGCTTGTGAAGGCGGCGGTAATCCCGGAAATCCTCTAGTTTTTGCTGCATGGCTTGCATGGTGTTCTCTGGTACCCGATTCTCCAGCCAAGGAATAGTGCGACGGATCCACTCCAACAGCTGTAAATGCCGAAGAGGAAAAGAGGTGGAAATATTTATACAACTTAAGGAGGAAAAATAGCATTAGCTATACAGCTCGGCAATGTATTATTGCTGTTGCATACCTTCAACCCATTTCTAACTCATAGCAACTCAAAAGCCAACTTATGGCAACCCTATCATGGGGTCTCCCTGGCAAGATTTGTTTAGAAGGAGTGTTTCTTTGCCCTTTTTTGAGGCTGAGAGGCTATGACCTCTCCAAGGTCTTCCAGTGGTTTTGAAAGGCTGAGCTGGGGTTCAAAAGTTGGTCTCCCGTCACAGTTCAAAGCTCAAACCACTACACCACGTTTTGCACATATGAATATGCAACTATAGGCCTAAATCTCATTGCTTAATCCAAACTAGAACAAATCCATTAAATCAGCTTCTGAATAGTTGAACTAACACTTATGAAATGTCTATTGCTTCATTTTGTCTACTTTGTTTGGAATATAGTAAATGGATTAGAACCATTTACATTAACAAACACATATAGACGTAGAGTCGCATGTAAGATATAAAGGTATCTTGGATGCCACTGTGAATCCAACTTAGGAGAAAGGCAAAGTATAAATTCAATAATAAATAAATAGACAATTAAGTTTTCAAGTGTTAGGTAAGTTGAACGGTATTTTTAAAACATGCTTTGAATTAATTTTTGTCCCTACAGTTTGGAACAGGTCAGTTTCAAGGATTGCCTTTTGTAAGATTACATAATGTTCCAGCCCTTGTTGCTCTTCAATGAGTTCTTCTGCTGGGTTGTTGTAGGTTTTTTGGGATATATGGCCATGTTCTAGAAGCATTCTCTCCTGACGTTTTACCTGCATCTATGGCAAGCATCCTCACAACCTCTGAGGATGCCTGCCATAGATGCAAGTAAAATGTCAGGAGAGAATGCTTCTAGAACAGGGCCATATAGCCCAAAAAACCTACAACAACCCAGTGATTCTGGCCATGAAAGCCTTCGACAAGTACTTCTGCTGTCACCAAAAACAAACAAAAACCCATGCCTTTATTAAGTACATGTTTTCTCTGGGCACTTTCTCCAGCAGCATGGCAATTAATTTTAAAAGTTTGTTTTGGTCATTAAAAATGATTACTCTATTATTTGCAACTTCCACGATATTTATTTAGCCAGCAATTAATGCCTCGTTCCTTATAGCCTAAGTAATCAATTCCTCACAGTGGTCAATTTATTTTACTTATATATAACTGTCTGTTTCCTTAGTCTCAGCAATAAATAGCCCAATTATATATATATATCTAATCTAAATAAATTATTAGAAGAATTGTAAGACACTGTTCTTACACTATCATCTGCAAACAATAGATCTTGTCAATTTAAGAAGAGATGCCACTGTATGTTTCAAAATATCTTTTACTTTGTCCTGATAGGAGAACATGCTGAATGTGGGATGGATAACTTTCTATTTCCATGTAGCCTTGTCAAGAAATTGAAATCAGGAAAACTCACATCACTGGCCAACTTCTCATAATCTTCCATTAGTTGCTCATTCTCTTGATTAACTGCCAGCACTTTGCAGATACGATTGGCTGCTGTTTCCGCCTGTCAAAAGACACAAAGGCAAAAGGAAATATATACATATATAGAATTGCTGCAGATTGCCCATTTAGATTTTTCTCTATTAGAAAAAGCTGGACTTCCTTCTCCACTAAGGGAATATTTTTGTTGCATGCCTTCAAGTCATTTTTGACTTATGACAACCCTAAGGTGACGCTATCACAGTGTTGTCTTGGAATTATTTGCTCAGAGAGATGGCTATTGTCTTCAGATAATTAACTGCTTTGAACTGGATTATATGATAGTGTAAATGTGACCTGAGAGAGTGTGACTTATCCAAGGCTACCCTTGGCTGAGTGAGGATTTGAACCCCTGTCTCCCCAAGTCCTAATCCAACACTCACCAGTATATTACATTGGCTCTCAAAGACACTATTGCTAATCTAAAACGTTACTTGCTGTCAGTATTGCCCTTTGCTTCTCAGGCTGACAGACACAGCGTGGGAATTTCAGGAGTGAGGAATGATGCTGGTCTGCAAGTTCTATAGATAATAGTCATGGATGATAATGAGTTACTCTGGGTAACATTTGAAAGAACTCTAGGTTCCCCACCTCTACTCTAAATCTATTGAACCAATTGCATAGCCTTATTATAATAGCCAGATCTTTGGAAATTGACTACAGCTCTTATAATTCTCCAGCTAGTATGATCATTGGCTGCAATTGATGGGATTTTCAAGAGTTGTAGTCCATGCTGTGCTAGCAAAGATCAGGAGAGAGGTGACAATTGAAGTTGTCAGGGCAAATCCTGATCATTTCTGAGAGCCCAATAACTACTTGTAAAAATCCAATATAATTTGTTTAAATGATCTACATTTCTCAGTTTGTTTGAAGTTAAACTTCCTCCTCAATTTCTGAGTAATCCAAGGAGTCACAATACACCAAAGGTAAATTGTCTCTGGAAAAAAGAATTGAGTTGTTGATCTCAATTGCATGCATATCCAAATGTTCAAAGCCATCAATCTAGATTGCTTTCTTTTGATACTGTGGCTGTACCCTAGAGAGGGTACCTAAATTCTCAGTTAGAGAGCTTTAGTGTACTGCCATGGTGGAATAATTGTGAAAGGTTTCCTCCTCCCATGACAACTTTGAAAATGGATAAAACAACCTTGCCAGCCAAATCCATTTAGGGTATATTTTAAAAGAGCTTGAAAAACATACTGTTTGGATCTACAACTCTGTATGGCTGCTCTGATTATGGATGTTGCAATCCAAAAAACAATTGTTCCAAATTCTGCATTACCAGGTTTTTTTTCCCATGGAAATACTGCTGAAGAACTGCTATTTTTATGCACTGGCATGTTGTCTGTTTTCTAGCAGATCAGAGACAACAGGTCATTCAGTCTAACAACTGGAGCCAATTACCTTGCATAATTATATTTGGTTGTATACCACTTGAGAAAATTCTACTCAAACGTGTTTTTTACTCTTCTCTAAAAGGTTATGATCTCTAAAAGCTTTTCTAAAAGCTACTAGACAGTGCTGGAAGCTACTGATTAAGACTAAAGAGTGTGGCTTTGCGGATTTAGTCAGCATTGTATTGCATCTTTATCTCAATACAACTGTAAGACAATTCAGCTTGGGCATGGCTCTCTATCTCATTGACTCTTAGATCAACTTTATATGCTGACTGTGAGTGCAGTTGTTATTATATATAATACAAACACCTGTCTTTTCTTCATTATAGATGATGTTCTAGCCACAGCAAACGGAACCTGAATCAAAAAGCTACCGATAAAGTTTTTTCCAGCAATCCATTTCCACGATGTATTAAAAGCACATTATTATACCAATCAATTAATAAAAACACTCATGCACTTTAGTGTTAGGAAAGTTAGAAGCAGTTAAGAGGGCAGGGGGAAGCAAATCGACCAAAGCGAGTATATGTGTAGAGATACACAAGTAGACACATACAAATCATATAAAGAGGAAACACCAGTCACATATGCATCACAGCAGGCTGGAGGCCCCTGTACCTTGAAGGACTCAGTATAAAAGAATGAAAGAAGCAGAAAGTTGATGGTGTGACCTCCCTTTCATCAGGGCTGGTAGCAGAAATGAGAAATCTGAATGAGAAATGGAGTGACATCACAGTAAGTCCCCTTGTCAAGGAAAAAGGAAGAACCTGAAAAGACACTTCTCTTGTGCTCCAAGTAGCAAAGCATGATTGCGAGTTGGTCTACATGAGGCACAGACTGGAAAAATTGGTTTTGTGGAACACAACTACCACAATCCCGTGATAGCTGGAGGATTTTGAGAGTTGTAGTCCAAAAATAACTCTTCCAAGATCTGAGATGAGAACAGATTTGGAAGTCTGATCTTTCAACAGCTGGCTAACAGGAGGAAAAAAAAGTTCTGGGCAAACTTTAAAGGGGAAGGGAACCCTGCCCTGCCTTCTAGGTGATGAAGGCATAGGTGGCCAACAAGGAAATCTATTAAAAATCCTCCTTTCATATAAGAATTAGGTACATACCTAAATAATTAATAACTTATTCTCACTCCAATTACTTGTTTCAGTTATAAAACAGACCAATGTTTGTAACAGCCTGGTTGCTAGCTATTTACAGAACACAATCGGTAATTTTCATATTCAGGTTACAATTAGCATTCAATAGAATGAAGGTGGAATTATTAATTTAAGTACAAATTGCCAAGTTGCACTTGACATAAGTTTCACTCAATACCTTTAAAAATGTTGAGCTGGAGGGAACCCTACTGTAAAAAATTGCTGAATGTACTTTGAAAATAAGTGAACTAAATGAAAACAGCATTTTCAGTTGCTAATTTGACACATTCAGAAATTGTTCATATTGGTTTTAACAAAAAGTGGGAATGTGCTCTGAAAAATCAATAATAAAGCATTGATGGCTCTGCTTTTTGCTGAATGTAATATTTAGTGATGAGCTCATGAGTAAATATTTACAACGCAGGGCCTGGGCATGATGAGACTGTTATTCTAATTTATATTTCATCAATTGTTTTATAGAGCTAATTACTTTGCGTATGGCACTAATCCTCAGCCAGAATGCAAAAGAGTTGTGTACCATTCTAGAACAAAACATGTTCTGACAAAAAGTTTGCAATACTTCTCACTCTCTGTGTAGTTTTGCACAAATTCAAGTTTAAGTGTTACCAAATTGGTAAAATGGTTTCAGAACCATTCCCTCTGGAAAAAGAATGTCCAATTTACCATTGCTTCAGTGTTTTTGTTGTTTTTCAAATTGGGACTAAACACTGAACTCTAATATATCATCTAGTGCAGTGGTTCTCAACCTGTGGGTCCCCAGGTGTTTTGGCCTTCAACTCCCAGAAATCCCAACCAGTTTACCAGCTGTTAGGCTTTCTGGGAGTTGAAGGTCAAAACATCTGGGGACCCATAGGTTGAGCCCCACTGCTCTAGAACTATTTAAAAAGATTATCAGGTCCAATTCACACATTTCTTATGTGATGCAGTAGAGAAATACAAGAAAGCTGTTTTTTCAGCAACTAAGATGGCAAGTTATATAAAGCATGAATTGGGACCCAGCAAAAATAATTTTAATGTACTTTGCACTGTTTCTGTTTGGTTTGGTAAATTTGGGGAAATAAAAATGCATACTCATATTATTAAATGTGACTGCATATGAGAAGGAGAAAAACTTGTCTTTTAAATAATCGAACTTTAAAGATTATTTGTTGGTGTGGCAAAGAAGTGTCTGAACAACCTACATGCCCAATTCTTGGAACTGAGCTACATAATGCAACTGGGGAAGTTTGGACTAAAATTGGTCTTAGCCCAAAGGCTGAGAAGCTTGGACTAAAACATTATTTCTCATTTACCGTATATTCCGGCATATAAGACGACTGGGCGTATAAGATGACCCCCAACTTTTCCAGTTAAAATATAGAGTTAAGACAACTCCCATGCGTAAGACTACAACCACGTATAAGACGACCCCTGACTTTTGAGAAGATTTTCTTGGGTTAAAAAGTAGTCTTATACGCCAGAATATACTGTACATCTTATATCCAGATATAAATGCCAATTCTGACTGACGAACACATGTTTACATCCCTACATTTCTGTAACATGCATGCAAACATTTAATTAGAATCAATAGAAGGGAAATATATTTTGTATCCATGTAAAAAATATCAAAGGAGGAGGAGCTCTAAGACATAGAGACATGACTGAATGAATTTTTAAAAAGCTGGAAGAGTGAAAACACACCACAAATGATATGAGGAAAGAAAGTGCCAGAATTTCTAGTGGCGGAAGAGCACAAATGGAGAGGCAACAAGAGGACAGACAGAACTAAGAACTAAATATAGGGACTATTTCAATCAAATCTGGTAACAGGAAAAACTGTTGTTTTGGAAATGTGTATTAGAGGCCTCCCTAAGAAAGCACTCTAAAAACAGGTCAAACTATAGTCTCCACGATTCCCGGTCAGCATGGGCACTGGTGGGGGTTGTAGTCCAACTTATTTGGAAAGTGATGTGATTTAGAGTTATATAAATACCTAGTGGTAATTTCCTATCTGATCACAAAAAATAGTGGCACAGGGATTAATAACATTACTGAGATACCACCAATAGAAACCAGTCCTCCTGTTTATTTATGGGGATGCAGGTTTGAGGACTGAACTACATATGATGCTCAGTCATGCATAGCTCCTTTCAAACATAGTTATAAATAAAATGCAGCTGCAGAAACCACAATCTGGAGTAACTGTTTGGCCTTACCAGCTGTAAGGATTTCTGGGAGTTGAAGGCCAAAACATCTGGGGATCCACAGACTGAGAACCACTGGCCTAGTGGGTTTTCTTACTTGTCCCCTTTTCATTTTGTCTCAGCTCAGTTTTATTCCATAGCTACTTTTTCCACTTGCAAAAAAAAAAAAAGACTATGGGTACAGGACCATAGCCAGAAAAAAAATTGGGGGTGGGGTGGGGGGAGTGAATCATGAAAAGTAGTTCCATAACACAAAATAATTTAAAATAGTATGGTTCATTCTATATTTTATATAGACTTAATTAAATAAATTTTCTATTTTAGTTACAAAGTTTCAAGTCTTAAAATAAGTGAAAATGATTGTTAATTGATAATTTATAGTAACAAAAGTATACCACAGCGTCTGTTGGAAACACTTGAAAACTGTGTGAATACACTTTGACATAAATCAGGCTCCATTGATAAACTTCAGTAGACACTCAAGAGTGCAAGTCCCATCAGTCTTTCTTGTCCCATTATATTTCTTATGTATGTTTTCAAATGTTTAAGAGTTGAAAACAACAAGATATATAGGCATAGTAATGGGACTCCTACTATCTGGAAAAGGGGGGGAGCAAGGAGGGAAAGGTCTAATTCCCCATTAGGAACCTGCCTCCTACCTCATGCTGAAGTAAAGAGCACAGCAGGGGGAAAGAGCAGTCTTAAACTGCCTGCAGATCTGCCCCTGTCAAAGGCCCCCACCAAGTCTACTCTTCTTTATGAGGGCCTTCAACCCCCCCCCCCCTTCATGCCTTAGGCTTTGCCGGCCAGTTATGGGTGGGCCAACTTGATTGCTTCTACTGTATCGACTATTGCTGCAATTAATTATGGTGTGAATAAACTGTCAAATTTGCTTGAGATAATACTTGCAGTTCTGGAGGGACGTCTTTAATTTTTGCTTCTGGTGCATCTAAGGCCCCTTCAACACAGCTGAATAAAAATCCCACATTTTCTGCTTCAAACTGGAATATATGGCAGTGTGGACTCAGATAACCCGGTTCAAAGCAGATACTGTGGGATTTTCTACCTTGATATTCTGGGTTATATGGCTGTGTGGAAGGGCCCTATCTGTAGACTATCTTTGACTTTCACTCCCTAAAAGAGTGAAGTGTGGGAGACAGGTTTTAGCAGAATAAAATAGGCCACACATGTAACTTGGACCATCCAGTACTACATTAATTTTTGCAGCTAGTAGGAACATCTAGAGCTTTTTAAACACCCTCAACAGATTAAAACTGCCAGCAGTGGTTTAACCCTGTATTTTCTCTCTGAAATAATTGGGCATCTCTAAGGGGTCCTAAAAAGTGTTAGCCTAACAAAGCACTTCCCAGGAGGGAGCATTCAAATCTGTCAGTTGCTGCTGCATACATTTTCAAAACTTGATGGGACACTTGTGGTTATAGCCTGGCATTTCTAGAAGAGGAAGTGTTTCTGAAGATCTGCTATGTTGGAAGAGATCATGAGTATTTAAAAAGAGACCTAATCTTTAATCCCCAGGAAATTTAAGGATGTAGCAAAAGCGCTTGACACAAAAGCCAGCCCTGGTTCCTTACCAATGAAGGTCTAGAATAGTGTCTTCTAAATGTGATGGGCAGGAAACAGAAGGAAGAAGAGGCGGTTTGTTAGGAGTAAAGTCTCACCTTCTGCGCACCTGAGAAGGCGTGGTAGTAACATGAAACATAGGTCATAATGGCCTTCTCATCCGGCCTTAGCGTGCCTATAATATCTGTGCAAAGAAGGAGAAGAGGTTGAAAGGATAAAGTAAGAAGCAGCACACAGAATAAAATAAAACAGTCATGGGTGGCAAGAGAGGGGGGAAACTTCCCATCATGCATTGCAGGACAGGCCAAACAGATTTCCATGCGGAGAGCTGGGAATTTGGATCAGAATGTGACTGGCAGGGTTGGCTTTGTGGACTCCAGTGGCACCCATTACGACCACCCATTTCCAGCTTCAGTTTCTAAGTAACCACCCACTGGAATATTCTACTTTTTGACACAGCTCCACAGTCAGTAGATTTGGCCCATTTGCAAATAGGGGAAAAGCTAATTGTCTCTGGGAAGTAACCAACCAATGCTGTGTGCACTGCACTGAAAATTTTATTTCCATGAGTTGTAATATCCCATTCTTTTAAAGAAAATATGGAAACCATCTTGCAAACCTGACCCCTGTTTTAGACACTACAGTGGACAACAGGTGGCAGTGTATGCATTCAGGTTGCAATTCTCTGCTTGCTTACCTGGGGGCAGAATTTAGCTATAGAGATTTGTACTATAAATCCAAGTTGATTTATGTCTAATGCTTACTACCAAAGGATGGCTGATGGAGTCAACTACCATACTTAATGGTGACTTCCCATTAAGAACACTTCTTTCAGTAACATTTCCAATGAGCTTGGAAAACGGAGTGTGCACTTACTCTGGGGCATCCAGACCTTATTTATGAATATTGTGCAGTTTTGTGAAAAGAGGAGAGTAGTCCACATTTCTGAAGGGCTCTGCTTTTGTGGTTGATCACAAAGCAATTTAGTATGGACTGATGTGAAGGACTTTATGTTCCCAGGATCATTACACCTGTCAAACTACTATATAGAAGATTTTTAAAATCATGTCAAAAGCGACTTGAGAAACTGCATGTCGCTTCCGGTGTGAGAAAATTGACTGTCTGCAGAGATGTTGTCTAGGAGATGCCTGGATGTGTTACCATCCTGTGGGAGGCATGTCTCATGTCTCATGAAGCTGGAATTGACAGATGGGAACTCATCCCGTCTCGTGGATTTGAACCACCGACCTTCAGGTCAGCAGTTCAGCCAGAACAAGAGTTTAACCCATTGCACCACTGCGGCTTAAGTATATAGAAGATACTTTCCCTCCTTGCAGATTGCAGATGATTTCAGTGGATAATGTTTCAACCTATTTATTTCAATATCTATATCCACAGATTTTAATTAAGTATCATATATGAATCCAATTAGAATGGTTGCATATCCTGGACTTTCTGCTTTTAATGTTTTGAATTTCTAATGTTATTTTTTTTTTAAAAAAAAACTCTCCAATGTTAATGTTTTAATGTTTTAAACTCCTGGTCTGTGACCATATAATAAAAGTCATTCATTCCCTCCTTGTTGTCCTTCCTAAGACTTACCTCGAGAGATATCCCTAAATCCAATGAATAACAGCAAAACTCTCAATGCTTTTCAAGTGATCCATAGATAGATCCACTCTATGGTTGAATCTATGCTATATCTCAATGCTATGATCTCTGCCTGTGATGCTGTGTTTCACTAATTGACATCCCCATCATGGCATATATCTGGGGATGCCACTCTGAGTCAACAAGCCAACACTACCAAAAATAATAAGAAAGATGCCCGTAGCTAGATAAGAGAGAGAGAAAGAAAAAAGGTTTGGACATTAGCAAGAGGACCAGGTGCGTTGTGTGGAGGGAGCTTGGAATCCTGCGATACCTTCTGGGCTCCTGAGAAGGCGTGGTAGAAGCTAGAAACATAGGTCATGATGGCCTTCTCGTCAGGACGGGCTGTTCCAACAATGTCTGTCAAAGAAAACCTGAAGTTAAAGAGCATACCAACTGATGGGAAGTGAGCAAAGCGAGGCACTGGGGGCACCACGTGTGGGCGAGGGATGGATGTGCATACCAGCATCTTTATGCATTCCCTAGGTGGATTTTAACAGAATTTTGCAGCATGAGATCTTTCACCCACTAGATTTAGGGTATTTGTTCCTGTCTTCTTTCTTTCACTTACCAACTACATACACAAAAGTTGATAAATGAACGAAGTTGCAGTTCTAAAGGAGAAGAGTAACTTCCAAGTTAATAAGATGGAAGATGCCCCAAAGTTGCTGCTGAAGTAGATGCAAACTGGTGCTTCCTTCTCCCTGGTACCTTGTGTGCCATCTTGATTTTGGGCAGAGTCGATTCTGAGAACTGTAGACCAAAAAAATAACTTCTCCAAGCTCTGCATTTTAGTGAGGAAAATAGGTGCTCAGCCCCTTACAAGCTTAAGCCATGCAATGTTTTTCACAGCACTTCCTTGCTGCTATGATGACGTCAATGATGATGGCTGAAAACAGCTGCCAGGGTACTGAAGGATAAATATATTGTCCTATGCCTAGCAAACTGCTATTTCTATTAGAGCTTTCCTGAAATCCCAATTAGTAGGTTGTCAGAGATCTCTTTAATGGCAAGCCCAGAGAGTAAGAAAGTAAAATAGCTCAAGAAAAAAAAGCTCTGGAAAGCTCTATTGAACTTGCTGAGGATGAAGATAGGGTCCTGATGTATCTACAATAATTCTTTAGTCAAGACTTATGCAAATTCAACAATGGATAGAGTAGCAGCGAGAGTATTTGCTTATGGTCAAGAGCTACTCAAATAAGTTGTTACAGTAAGTTGTAGCAGGACCAAGCATGTGTGTGTTGAAGAAAACCCTTATGATGGTAATTATTATGTACAGCTGGTAATGTAGGTAAACCAGCAATCTTGGACCATGCCCGAAAGGGTATAACTGTATGGGTTTTTAGAATACAGTTCTGGAGAGCTTTTTCTCTGAGGAGATCTATGCTCAAAGGCTCTGCTCTGAGGAGCAGGTTGGAGAGAAGCCATTATGCTGCTCTAAAGGAGGATATGGTGGAATAGATGCTTGCTCAAGGTTTATGTTTTGCTTTCTCATTTGACTGAAGATGCTTTATTTTGTGTTACTTACAAAGACTATGTAATTTTCTTACACTGTTTTTGTATGCAACATTGCAAGTTTGTGTTTCATCTCTGCTATTAAGAGTAAAGATTTTTCTGTTCATTTCTACTCTTCTCTGTGTGTCTTGTGCATGGGACGTGGATAAGATCCGCTTGCTGTGCAACAGAAGCATCATCAGAATTTTGAGCTAGGAGCAAAACACAGGACTGGATAAAGACCAGCCATCTATCAAATATTTCCCATTAAAGGGTACTGAACAAAAGCAATTAAAAATATAGATTTCAGTGGCAGTGCTCATTTGTTTTTTAAAAATTAAAAAAAAATGTAAAGATGACAATATAGCAAAAAAAAAAGCCCCTCTAAAAAGATACATTTGACACCTGTGATCTTACTTCTGAGAATAGAAAATTATAGGAAACCTTTTGGATCACTTTATTTGGTTTGATTAACTAATGCAGTTATGCCCAGAGAAGCATAAGCAATATGTGGGAGACAATAGAGGACGGTCTGCCTTTGTTTGCTTCTTTTCTCATGCACTGCAGTTGCCATGCAATTTGCTGTTGTAAATTGAGCTTGTTTGTCCAAGGTGGAGTACCAAACGCACAGATGTCCAGTCATTACTAAATGTATTTTTGTTAGAAGTGAGCTTCACAATAAAAAGCTTTAGAGCAGGTTTGAGAAATAGAGAGCACATTGCAGCTAACAGAAAACACTATGAACACAATATTGCCATTTCTTATTCAGGGCCCGACACAAACATTTGGGGGTTCAGTGGAACGTAATTCCCAATAGGTAGATGTTTGGCATAAGACTTCAACTGAACTGTGCAAGACCTAGTGGGCAAGACCAAGTTATAATGTCCCGTATCAGTGGTGTTTCTTCCTAGGGACAATGACATGAAGTGTTACCTCATCTGTGTTTCCAATGCTATTCTATTATTCAAATGGATTGTATAGGATCTAGCCACTAGAAAACAGTTCTGAAATATGTATTAGGGTTTTAAACCCCTTTCAAAAATAGATTATGGGAATAACAAGAACATGGCAAGGAAGAAACTTTCCCTGCCTGCTTCCAGTTGCTGTTTTTACCACCTTCTACATTATGAAGGGTAGATCTTTCTCTTATCCATGAAGCTTCTCCTTGAAATTACTCTGGAAAATCAAAATGGAGTTTGAAAGTGTATGGATACATATAAAGGAGATTTTCCTCTTAAACTGCTCCACTGGAGAGAAACAAGGACAGAAAGAAACAACTGAATTTCAACTTCTCCAGTGCTTATAAAACCCAGAATCCAAAAATCCGGATAAACTGTAGTCTAATTATGTGACAAGGAAATGGGAAACCTTGTGAAAAATCTATTAAGTACATGAAAAACATCTTTTGGGTAGAGTAGATAAGGGAGACAATCTTGGAAATTTTATGTCTACTTTACCTTCTGCATCCAACATCTTGGGGATATCTAGGAACCTTTCAGCCACATCAAAAGCTGTATTCAAGTTAGTGAGAGGATCATCCTAGGAAAGAAATAGTCTGACATTAGGAACAAGAGAATAGATGCCAATTTTAAAGGACAGAAAGTATACACAATTCTGGACTACTGACAGTGAACATAACTCTGAACTATTTGACAATGACTGTGTTAATTTAGTAGCACTTTAACACCACAGAATTATGCACATCTTGGGAATGCCTAGCCAGTTTAGACAAAAGAAAACGGAATAGAAAAGAAAATTATTAATGCCATAGAACAACGACATTAGAAAATGAATGGCAGTGATAACAGCCTCACTTTCCTTGCCTAACAATGTGTCGTGATGTGGTGCTCATGTACGTAGCATGGATTCTCAAAGCTGGACTTCTGAATCTGAGGAAGCAGTTGCTAAGGAACATGATATATTCATTCCCAGTTCAGATTGTGTGAACTGACTGTACCAGAAGGCCAAATGATATAACTACTATTCTTCTTCCCTCAATCAATATGCCAAAAGTTCATACATTTGCCCAGTGGCCTCTTTGGAGTTCTTCAACGAAGGGCCTTGAAAGATGGTGCAGACTCCATTTTCCATTTTTCCAAGAGTTTCCTTGCTTCCAGCACAAGCAATCAGAATGAGAGCTGCCATCTAGATAGTTTGTCCAAGTTTTATGTTGTTCAAATCATTTTGAGCCTTTGATATGAGCAGGTTCAGTATGACAATAAATATTATACTGCTTTAAGCAAAAAAGGTGGAATGCCCACTCTGTTCTCTGCTTTTAGTACAATGGAAGTAGGTCAATTGAAGCTGCATATATCACTGAAACTGCCTGAATACTACAGGAAAATTATAATGAACTTGGAAAGTTATAATTAATGACTTTTTCCATATATAGTATAAAGAATGAGCAACACATGTTCCCCAGATGTTGCTGAATCACAAATCTCATTATTCTTCACCACTAGGCATCTTAACTATGGCTGATGGGAGCTATAGGAGACATGTTGTGCACCTCAATTTTGAAGGTGTGTATTGAAAATGAGAAGAAGAAGAGGAAGAGGAGGAGGAGGAGGAGGAAAGATTAGTTATTGAATATAATGCATAGCTTCCCCTTGATGTACCTGCTTCAGAATGGCCAACAAGCCAGGGAAAGCATTCCCATCAGGCTTCCCAGCTAAGGCTTGTTCATGAGGTCTTCAAAACTGAGGGAGAGGTTTTGAAGGCCTTGTGAATGAGGCCAGTTGGGAAGCTTTGCCCCTCTGTCAGGCTGAGGCTGGCGAGTTTGCCAGCCTCAGTCTGATGGAGGGGCGCAAGAGGGTTTATGTATGCCAATCGTAATGCACCATCAAATCTAATTGCACTACAGGTTTGGCTATGTATTTTAACCAAAAAGGGTGAGCATTAGAATCAAGTAAATATTGCATTTTGTATTTTCTCATGCAGAGGAAAATAATGACTTACATTAGTTAAAATATCTACTTTGGTTCTATCTTGGGGAAATTCTCCTTGACTTTCAGCCTGCTCCATTGAGCTAAAATAGAGCCTATTCCTAGACATCACTGCCAGACAGTCTGAGAATATTGAATCAGGACTAGAACCTGAGAAGTTAATGCTATATCCCCTTAATGGTTCTTCTTTATGTCAATATGCAATGTTGACTTGCATACATAACTTTTTCTTTCCGTGTTAAACTCTAAGCATTCATTTCCAAATATGTTACCATGGTAATTAATTCAGTGTCTTCTTTGTAACTGCAAGGAATTAGCAAAACTGTTGAAGCAAGGTAGGAGGAGTGAATACAAGATGTTAATCTTGTCTGCCAGAAACTCACCCAGTGAAATGTGTGTGGGGTTTTTTGTTATTGTTATTAAAATAATCAGGCCTTGACATGTCAGTCAAAAAAAATATTCTGTTCTTACTAATATGACATGATTTATATGTTAGTAAAGTGTAATGCTTTCATCCAGCTTCTTTAATGGACAAGAGGATCCAAAGGATGTCCTTCTATTAGGATACACATTTGAAAAATACAATGGAAACAAAACTACGAATGTAATACTTATTTTGGTGCAAATAAGCACATCCCCAGAATTCACTTTAGGGGCATGTGGGCTGGCCTTATACAATGGATTATTTTGAGCAAACAAGAGTTATATATTTATTTATACTCCACTTAGTTCTATGGATTCAATCATGGTTTACCAATGTTTTTCTGTTACTAATCTAGTTCCAAATAGGCTCAGAATAATTGAAATATATCTTGTGACCAAATATGAATGATACTTCCTAAGATCAAGAAAACTACTTACTGCTTCTAGTTGAAATCTCTAGTTGGGACTAACTGGATTTTTCTTTTCTTTTTTTTTTCTTTGTAGTGTCAGGAGCAACTTGAGAAACTGCAAGTTGCTTCTGGTGTGAGAGAATTGGCCATCTGCAAGGACGTTACCCAGGGGACCCCTAGATGTTTTGATGTTTTTACTATCCTTGTGGGAGGCTTCTCTCATGTCCCCACATGAGGAGCTGGAACTGACAGAGGGAACTCATCCACATTCTCCCCAGGTTCGAACCTGCGACCTATCGGTCTTCAATCCTGCCGGCACAAGGGTTTAACCCACAGCGCCATCAGGGGCTCCACAGGGACAGGTAACAACCCATTACACTGCTATATCTGAACTACTCGCAAAGTCAATTCCTCCCCCTTATCCAGAAAGATGAAGATGTACCTTTCTTAGCTTCCCATAGTCAATGAGCTCTGGACGATGTCTGTGAATCAAGGCACAGAAACCAAGGCCATCCTTCCAGCTGTGAGAGAGACAGGACACAAGTTGATCAAGGAATAGCTGGCACAAAAATTGATGAAAATACTCAAAAGGAAACCACTAATCTTCAATGACCAGAATTTCCCATGCAGTCCATGGGACACAGAGCATGTATTTTATTTAGCTGAGAATGTCGAGATTTAATCTGGAACAGAAGTGGAACTTGCCTATGCTTGGAGGAGTAATAAGAACTGCAGGACAATTGAGGACCAAATACCATAATTCTGTAGAGAAAGCATTTACTGTCCTGGATTCATCCAGATGTTATTGGTCTGCAACTTCTGTCAGTACCAGCTTTTATCCATCCCAAAAGATCTGGAAAGATCCAGGTTAGGGTTTCTTCAAGATGCAGCCCTTCCCTACTTTGGGTTCCTCCAAATGTCATTGGACTATAATTCCCATCATCCATGGCCAGCATGGACAACTGGGTGATGGTTTTTGCAGTCACCCATGTGCGAAGAAATTTAAGAGTTGGGAAGCCAGCAGCTGGAGATAAATAGTTAAATGTGCAGTTACTTGTTACTAACAATCACTGTTACTTGTTACTAACAATCACTGTTAGGTGGGCCCAGAGTGAGCAAATGTTCAGAGTTCAGACTAGACCACTCAGAATCATGCTGACTGAGGGATTCTGGGAGTTAAAGTTTTTTTAAAAAAAAAAACCCTTTAGGAATGCAATGTATTAGGTTCAACATCTAATACAAACTTATATCCTTCCTTCAAACAAGGCAAACATACTCCTTTACTAAATATAATTGCCTTCTTTGCTCTCATCTCATTCACTGAGTTTTGGCAGGGCTGCTGTCCACCATGATATCAGAATGAAGACCCATCAATTCCATTTTGTTTCCATGGTGTGGAGAACATATATTATTGCAACCAATGCCATAAAAACTTTACAACACTTTCAATATTTACGTGTACAAAAACACTTCTAGGAAAAAGATGGATATTTTTAAACAAGTGTTAAGTATGTATCTGTGTAGAGCAATGATGGGGAAAATAGCTCATACATTATGTTCTTTGCATTTTTGGGGTCTCTTTTGGATGACAACACACTGAAAACTGGTCCCTCTGCACGTAAGTAGGAACAGAGATCATGTGTCCCTACTACAGACACATAAACAGACTGAAAAAATTACCTTTTTGGAATATAATTACCACAGTTATTTCCAGTTTTTGACCAAGTTAACCAAGAGTGGCACATCAATGAAAGGTAATGTGTGTGTGTGTGGGGGGGGGGTGAGGGTGAGGGAGGGACATGTGGGCCTGACTCTCATGGGTAGTTGGTTAAATTTAAATCTAATGAGCCAGAAATTGGCTTCTATGACAGCAAAAAGGTAGAAAAAGCATGAACATTTTTGATGACATAAGATGTCAGAACAAAGACACAACTGTGTTTAGAGTACTGTATAAAGTAAAGGGGGAAACCCCCAATTCTTTGTCTTATTTATTCCACCACCAATCCTTTAACACCCTTTCAACAAATCTTGCCAAGAAAACTCGTGATAGGTTTGCCTTGGAGTCACTTTAAATCTGAGATGACTTGAAGGCGCATAATACACACAATGGTAAGTCCATTGTTAACTGTGCTTAATGCTGAGGTTGGAAAGAGTTGGGCTAAGTACCAAACACTAGTATCCAAATCCCTGCATTATGCAAGATTGCAAGTCACAGGCTGCTACCATTCAACTTTTACATTACCTAATATGGAAGTTTTGGATGTTCACATTTTTGTATGGTGCTGTCTTCCGCTGACACCATAACAAAAGCCCTTCTTTAGCGGATGTCTCTAAGGAACAAAAGATACAAGGATTAGCCAAACACTGTGGCACTTCTACTACTTTTGAAATATGCCTATCCAGTTCTGACCTTTAAAACTTTTGAAGCCATTCAGGAAAATTTAGGCCACTCCTTTGATTTACACTGTAGTCCAGAGGTTCAGCTAAAAACCTTTCAAAACTTTTAGTATTTTGAAAGTGCTGCTGTGTTTTTTCTAACTATACATATCAATATTGATGTTGAGCTTTCTCTGTCTCCTATCTTCCACTGTAAGGGTCTTCATAATGTAGGAAACTGAGTATTATCAGCCCTCTGTTTCCGTTGGTTTGGCATCCATGGATTTAACCAACTGCGGCTAAAAATATTATGATTTTTTCCCCAAAAACCAAACCCTGATTTTGCTGAATTCTACACTGTGTATTTATTTATTATTAACTGCATTTATATACCACTTTTCTCACCCCTGAGGGAACTTAATGCAGTTTCCAACATAATAGTGGCAAAATTCAATGCTATACATACATGTGAAAACCAAACATAATTTCTAGACAATAACATATCCTATACATTAAGAACCTTAACCATATTTCACATATCAGCATAAAACAACAATTCTATTAAAATTGCATCCTTAAAACATATCAATTAAAACTGTTATTTAGCATCACACAATCCAGGAGCATAAGTCAGGAGCCGTACTATGGACTATAGAGTCCTGTGATTTTAGAGACCTTTAGGTTTTCCCCAGCACTTGTTTTGAGCTGTCCATATTTTATATAAGGGACATCAATTTATTGTGCCATTGATTGTAATGAAACTTGAGCATCCATGGATTTTGGTATTCACTGAAACTAACTTCCTGTGGGTATCAATGACCCACTGTCACAGAATCATAGTACAGAATCAAAGAATCATAGAGTTGGAAGAGACCTCGTTGGCCATCCAGTGTAACCCCATTCTTCCAAGAAGCAGGAAAATTGCATTCAAAGCACCCCCGAGAGATAGCCATCCAACCTCTGTTTAAAAGCTTCCAAAGAAGGAGCCTCCACCACACTCCAGGGCAAAGAGTTCCACTGCTGAAAAGCTCTCACAGTCAGGAAGTTCTTCCTCATGTTCAGGTGGAATCCCCTTTCCTGTAGTCTGAAGCCATTGTTCCGCATCCTAGTCTCCAGCATAAAACAAGCTTCTTCCCTCCTCCCTATGACTTCCCCTCACATATTGATACATGGCCCTCATCATGTCTCCTCTCAGCCTTCTCTTCTGAAGGCTAAACATGCCCCGCTCTTTAAGCCGCTCCTCATAGAGCTTGTTCTCCAGACCCTTGATCATTTTAGTTGCCCTCCTCTGGACACATTCCAGCTTGTCAACATCTCCCTTCAATTGCAGTGCCCAAAATTGAACACAGTTCCAGGTATGTTCTTGGAGCAACTAGGGAGATGGAGGTTTAAGCTTCCAAATAATCATCATTTAGTTTTAGCACCAGTCGCTAAATTACAATCTTCAGTTATGGCAGTACCAGCAGATTTGGAGAATCTGAAACATGCCTGGAGTTGTGGACTATGGTTTCCACAGTTTCACTGAACCTCATCAGTGATGAAGGATCATAGGTTAATAATATAAATTTTTTTTGTCGTGTCAGGAGCAAGTCACTTCTGGTGTGAGAATTGGCCGTCTGCAAGGACGTTGCCCAGGGGACGCCTGAATGATTTGATGTTTTTATCATCCTTGTGGGAGGCTTCTCTCATGTTCCCGCATGAAGAACTGGAGCGGATAGAGGGAGCTCATCCGCCTCTCCCCGGATTTGAACCTGCGACCTGTCGGTCTTCAGTCCTGCCGGCACAGGGGTTTAACCCACAGCGCCACCGGGGGCTCCTAATAATATAATTAATAGTAGTTAATCAGATTTGGAGAGTCAAAAGGTTCCCTGTCTGCTCTAAGTAAATATACTTTCCTAGCTAGTGCCCATGTAACACTTAACAATTGGGTAAGGACAATCTGTTCCTTGAGATTCTTTGGCTAAAACAATTGTTCTTCAAATTTAGCCTTGAGAAGCTGCCTTTCCATTAGTTAATGGCTGAGTATAGCTCATATTAAATAAATGTCACTGATCAGATTGTGGGATAATAGTGGCGGCCTGAGAGTATGAAAACAAAAAGGAAGGAAAAGGTTTCGTATCTTAGGAAGATGGCAACACAAATTCCCAATTGTTCTCAGAAATCCTCCAAGCACAAATCATGACCTTCATGAGGGAGCAGATACATTGTTTTCATTAGATTCTCAAATAGGTCCATGATCCCCTAAAGTGAGGTACGGCAGAACACTTCTAGTATAGATTAAAATGTTTGTTTGGCACCCTGTTCATTAGTTGGGTTGGGTTATTATCTTTTGCTGTTATGTATGTATTGGTTGTTGTATTCAGCCATTGAATGTTTGCCTTTTTGTGATTGGAATCCATCCTGAGTCTCTTTGGGGAGATAGGGCAGAATATAAATAAATATTTGTTGTTGTTGTTGTTGTTGTTGTTGTTGTTGTTGTTGTATCACAGAGCTGCCCAAAGTTCCCAGAGAACTAGTAATGTTACAAGAAATTGGGATTCCATTGTGATTTACCTTCTACTGAGATATCCTGAATGGCAAAACGGAGAATGATGGTCCAGATCATTCCAAGAGTCATTTTTGCATTCCCATCAACAATTTCTGCAAGAGAAAGAAAATAAATTAATCAAGGAGGGAGTTATAGAGTTTGCTATTTTTGATGGAAAGACGCCCTGGAACTATGGAAGACTGAGAAACATGTAAATCTATTTCAGGCCTGGAAGAATGAAAGACAAAAATTAAAATCCTGTATAAAGAGACATAGCTGTATCACATTGCTGTATCTCAATAAATGGAGTTTTAACTTTTGCAGATTTGATTACTTCCACACAGCCATATATCCCAGGATATCATAGCATGATCGAGTTGGAAGAGACCTTGTGGGCCATCCAGTCCAACCCCCTGCCAAAAAGCAGGAAAATCACATTCAAAGCACCCCCAACAGATGGCCATCCAGCCTCTGTTTAAAAGCCTCCATAGAAGGAGCCTCCACCACACTTCCGGGTAGAGAGTTCCACTGCTGAACAGCTCTCACAGTCAGAAAGTTCTTCCTAATGTTCAGGTGGAGTCTCCTTTCCTGTAGTTTGAAGCCATTGCTCTGTGTCTCATAATATCTACTTTGAAGTGGAATATATGGCAGTGTGGACGCAGATAACCCAGTTCAAAGCAGATATTGTGGAATTTCCTGCTGTGTGAAAAGGCCCTTGGTCTCTTTAAGAATCTCTAGGTCCTCCAGTACAATCCTATAGTCAACACCTGATCAAAGTTACCCATATACTTACACTGGAGAACCTAGGGATTCCTAGAGAGATGTTTTCTTAGGTAAGAAAAGTATTTTTAATGCACTGTTTTCACAGGGGTCCTGGATCCCAAACCCCATCAAATGTGTAGAATGAACTATTTAAAAGACATTACAGCCAGTCCACAGATTATGTTTCCACAGATCCAACCATTCATGGCTTAAAGTGTTTTTTTTTTAAAATCCCAAAGACAAATTTTGATTTTGCCATTTTATATAAGGAATGCAATTTTATCATGTCATTGTATATAATGGGAGTTGAGAGTTTGGTATCCATGGAGGATCCTGGAAGCAAGCTCTAGTGCAGTGATTCTCGCCGTGTGGGTCCCCAGATGTTTTGTCCTTCAACTCCTAGAAATCCTAACAGCTGGTAAACCAGCTGGGATTTCTGGGAGTTGTGGGCCAAAATACATGGGGACCCACAGGTTGAGAACCACTGCTCTAGTGGCTACCAATGACCCACTGTATCTCCCTGTAAGAGCCAGCTTGAGTTCTAGCAGGCCAGCTCATCCGTTCGCTATACCTCCTTGGCTGAGAGGCCTTTGTCTTGGTCTCGCCCCCATTACACACTTGTCTGGGGAGGACATGAGAGAGAACCTTCTCTGTGGCCGCTTCCAGGCCGTAGAACGCTTTTGCAAGGAAGGTCTGATTAGCCCCCTCCTCACTTCTTTCCGCCAACAAACGAAGGCCTTCTCATGTAGACAAGCATTTGATTGATTTTTAAATTATATGGTGAAAAAGTGTTGATAGTGCTGTGATGTGTTTTTATCCTCTTTGTGATTATACTTTAAATGTATTTTAAAACTGTTTTTAACTATCTCTTACTGATATTGAATAGTTGGGGGGGGGGTTGGAACTTTTGTAATGTGCATGTTAGTCAACCCCAGTTTTTAATTTTGTAAATCACCTTTTGGTGGAAGAAAAGTGAGTTATAAATAGAATAAAATAAAATAAGCTCTCCTTGCAGAATGTCCAGCTGCAGGATGACAGCAGGGTGTATTCTTTATTCTTTAATGACACAGAAATAGTGGTATTGCGGAGGATGTGTCGTACACTACTTGCTAGGTAGATTTGCAGGGGCTTTTGATCACTGCAAGTTTGGAATAGAATTGCAATGACTGAAATCCAATTTATGCCATCATAATTCACTAAGAAAATGCTCAGCAAAGATTATCTCTGGCAATGTCGCTGGGCAACAGCAATTCAAAGAGTGCACTCATATTTATAAGATGGTTTGTGCCAGCTATGTCAAGCGAATTAACCAGCAAAAAGACAGTTCCTTGCACTGAAGTTACAGATAATAGCTAATGACCAGATCCACAATAACTAAAAATGAAGGTTACAGATAATAGCTAATGACCAGATCTACAATCACTAAAAATGAAGAAATACATAAAAGGCCTCAACTGCACATTACTTGTCCTGTTTTGTCTTGCTTGTTTCCATTTGCTTCCCTTGTTTGTACATACATCTGAACATGGACTTTCATTTCTAGCATATTAAGTGATAGGTGCCTTCCAAGTTGCCCAGTCTTCTGTGTGTCCAGGAGGGAGGGAGTCTCTCATTTGGTATCAGCCATGAATTGAGGTTCTGGGTTTTAGCCTGCCACTTTTGGATTCTTGTTTGCTGAGGTGTTCCAGCGAGTGTCTCTCTAGATCTTAGAAAACTATTTCTTGATTTAAGGTGTTGGCATGCTGGCTGATTGTGGGGTTAAAAAAAGGGAAAGTGGAAGCAGCAGAGGTTATTCATTACATCTCCCAGCGGGTTGATTATCCCCGTTGCTCAGCCATGCCTTTGGCTTAAGGTATTGTTATAGCAAGAGGGATTCTTTACTGTGTTTCATCAATGCACCCACTGATTTGTGGAGCTGATTTCATCCTGAATCTGGACTTTTTTCATGCACTGCATACTTTTAGGTGCATGCCGCAGTGTGCATTGGCAGGGTGCATTTTGTGGCCACCACGGCTCTGAGTTAACTTTGAACATGATAGAAGGGCTCTAAATGAGAACAGTTCCTTTGTTTTAGAACATCTGCCTAAATTTCCAAACAGGAAAAGTACGAATAAGTTCTCTGTGTGTTTGATTGTCAAGCTGTGACCAACTGTGGCTGGTACTTAATGCATTACAGTTAAAGATATCACCAGGGGAATTCCCAACTACTGGGTTTTGGCCCAAAAACCTCAGGGCTAAAACAATCCTGAACTGGATTAAATGAAAAATGGGAATTTCCACTTGCAACAGCCTCCAGGAGCAACAATTCTCCTTAAAAACAAGGGGCAGGACCTCTCCACGCCTTATGAGATACTAAAAGAGGAACCATTTCCTGCCCATTTCAGAACATTTCAGAGGGTTTTTCTTGTCCTTCTCTTCTTACAGTAGCTTACAAAGGATTGATGTAGGATTGGTGTAGAATCAGAACACTCAAAAGAAAGAACCTTTTCTTCTCTTATTATCTAGAAATGCACTCAGTGTTGACCTTCATCTACTATCTTCACAGGTATCTAAATAGAATCAATTGTATTATAGTGAGCCTTGAAATAATGTAATTTCCTACCACTAGAGTAGTTCTGTTCCTCTCACTGCCCTCAATCTGGAAAATCTAATTTTGGGGACGGTGACTATCAATCATAACCGTTGAGGGATTCCAAGAGCTGTGGTTCAACTGTAACTTTCGCAAGCCATGGCCAAAGGAACAGGCTGTTTAGTGCATAGGGGCAACTTTAACTGGTTCATGTACTATATAATTTCAAGGCTGAAACAATGGACATCCTTCCAGATGAAAAACTAAAAAAAAATAAGAGAAGTACCCTGAAAGTATTACATAAGCCAGAACATGTGCTTATTATGATTTTGGCTCAAAAAGACTTGATTGACTGATATATATAGAGATGAGGTATAGAATACAGCCCTGTCACTCACTCTCCTACATCACCAGTTATGAGTAGGAAGAAGACTGAAACAAATAGCTGCCTGTTTTAAATCCTAAAAGTCACTGTTCTATTCGGACTAATAACTGCCACCCAGCCAGCTAAACACTTGTATTGCTTTGCATTTAAATGATAAGAAGTACTCACTAACTTAGGTGATCCCTCACTGTCTGAGTAGGATAGTCTTTCAAGATGAGTGTACTGGTGGGTCCGTAGGTGACTGTGGAGCCCTATTCTTGATCTGCATCTTCTCCCGCAGTGAGGGCATTGGTTTCCAGGTGGAAGGCAGTCTCAGTCGGTGGCATGCCTTGACATGCCTTCCTCTTGGCACGTTTCTCTCTTTTGCCCTCCATTCGTGCGTCTTTAAATTCTACAGCACTGCTGGTTACAGCTGACCTCCAGCTGGAGCGCTCAAGGCCAGGGCTTCCCAGTTCTCAGTGTCTATGCCAGAGTTTTTAAGGTTGGCTTTGAGCCCATCTTTAAATCTCTTTTCCTGCCCACAAATATTCCGTTTTCCGTTCTTGAGTTTGGAATAGAGCAACTGCTTTGGGAGATGGTGGTCGGGCATCCGGACAACATGGCCGGTCCAGTGGAGTTGATGGTGGAGGGCCACCACTTCAATGCTGGTGGTCTTTACTTCTTCCAGCACGCTGACATTTGTCCGCTTGTCTTCCCAAGAGATTTGCAGGTTTTTCTGGAGGCAATGCTGATGGAATCATTCCACGAGTTGCATGTGACGTCTGTAGACAGTCCACGTCTTTCAGGCATATAGCAGGGTTGGGAGGACAATAGCTTTATAAACAAGCACCTTAGTATCACTCAAACACTCTCTGCTTCATTTGGAAAAAAGCTGCACTCGCAGAGCTCAGGCGGTGTTGTATTTCAGTGTCAATGTTGACTTTTGTGGAGAGGTGGCTGCCAAGGTAGCAGAAATGATCAACGTTTTCTAATGTTACACCATTAAACTGTATTTCTGGCATTGAAGAGGGATTGGCTGGTGACTGCTGGAAGAGCGCTTTGGTTTTCTCGATGTTCAATGATAGGCCGAGCTTCTTGTATGCTTCTGCGAAGGAGTGGTTTGTAGGTCTTCTTCTGAATGCGCACAGACGATGTTGTCATCATCAGTATCCCTCTGTCATTCTCTCTTTTGCTTACCTATTTGTACCTGATTTTGGAATATTTTAGATCAGATTTATATAATGGAGCCAGAATCCAATTTCCAGAATGTCTGGGTGTTCGCTTTCAGATTAAGCAATTGTTCACATTTTGTTTTTGTTTTTTGTTTGTTTGTTTTTGATGTGGTACAAATGGAGTATCAGATGGGAAAAAAACAATTTTGGAGTATCAGATGGAAAAACTCCATGCTGCAATCATTTTGAAATACAAGGATGGCTTTCTAGTATGCAGCTCACAAGAATCTAGGCAGGAAAATAAAGGTCACTGGGCTTTTGAACAGTCCCACAAAGAACTTCTGTAAGTTAGCAAAGAGGCCTTGAAAACCAGAAAATTCATTTCGCATTTAAACAACACATTTTCACTTGCTGCAACTGGATCTACACTCCCATATAATGCCGTTTGAACTACATTATATGGGTCTGCATTGCATTACACGGCAGTATACATCCTGTTTGAACTACGTTATATAGCTGTGTAGCTCCAGCTTTATTTCAGTCACGTTAGTCTAATTTGTTTAAAGCCTATTCTGGTTTTTAGTGATGGTTCCTCATAAACTTCCCTTTTTTCAAACCACAGAAACCCATTTAGGCATTGACAACATTGGATCAGTTCTGCATTCCTGTTTCCTTACACTTGCAAAACTGTAGCTGTCGGCTTATAGATCTTGTGTAGTAAAGATATTAACTATACGGTCAATACAGAGAGCCCTAGATAAAATCTATCGCTAGGGCTCATTTTGCAAAAATGCCCCACCAACTTAAAATTTTGAGCTAAGCCATATCTGCTTGAGATGCCTTTTTTTGCCTGAACCAAATTAACAACATTTTGAATGCTTCGTTGGTTTTTATTTTCTAGTTTATGGCAGTGACAGCTTTTTGAAGTCTTAATTTAAGCCCTTAAAAATTCATAGACTGGAAACGTTTATAATCCTTTTCATAGGGCAGTCACTGAGACTACAGAGCTGTCAGTCAAGTCCAGGTACATGCTTTGATGTTACAATACAATCCTGATACAAAATATAATGCCTAAAGTAAGGTGGAACAGGGATTGACACCCTATGCCTACTATAGTTAATTTTCTGTTGACAGACACTCTTTGGGGTTCATTCTGTTTTCTACATATAAGGTTAACGAAAGGTAAAGGTTTCCCCTGATATTAAGTCTAATTGTGTCCGACTTTGGGGGATGGTGCTCATCTCAATTTCTAAGCCAAAGAGCTAGCATTGTCTGTAGACACCTCCAAGGTTATGTGGCCAGCATGACTGCATGGAATGCCGTTATGCTGGAATAGGTACTGCTTCTCACAGAAGCAGTACCTATTGATCTACTCACATTTATATGTTTCCAATTGCTAGGTTGGCAGAAGCTGGGCCTAACAGCGGGAGCTCACCCCACTCTCCAGATTCGAACTGCCAAACTTTCGGTCAGCAAGTTCAGCAGCTCAGCTGTTTAACTCACTGCACCACCAGGGGGTCTACACATATATAATGTTAGGATGGAGGAAATAACTTATATTAATCAGACATGCTTACAGCCTGCATCTTGATCCCATCCCATGCAGCTATTATGAAATCAAGTACAATCAGGGCTTATTAATTTGCTTCTGAAATAATTATAGTTACATTTCCAAGTACCTGCCTATCCCCCAACCAGTAGTTAGCTGCCATTAAAAAAAACAATAGCAATGCTCATTTTGTTCTCATCAGAAGGAAACACAAAACAGCAGCAGTAGGAACAGCATTTGACCATTTTATGAGGTCACATCTCATAAATATAAATCTAAGTAAAAGGATAACAAATACGTCATACATGGAATGCTGTTATCAAATGTTAAATTACAATTGCAATAAATGCATTACACTTTTATTACAGGAGTTTGAAGCTAATTACAAGGGACTTGTTATTTCTACCTACAGTAATCTCTCCACTTTCGCAGGGGGTTAGGGGTACAGGACCCTCACAGAAGTGGAAAAAAACATAAACAAACAACAGTACACTGTTTTAACCTAAGAGAAAACACCTTCCTAGGGCTCTGAAAGTCCTCATGTATCACAGAATAGAAAACGTTGTATTAGTGCAGTTTTTATTTCACACACCCCTCTGGAATTTGGTTAAAGCTGTACGACAGAGAGCACAGTGGAACTCGTATTCACAAGCAGGCTCAACAAGTAACACGCCATGCCTAAGTGTCATCTGATAAACTCAAAAACAATCCTTGCTCAGTGTGTATGCAAACTTCTTCACAAGACGAGACTCCACGAAAACTGCAATAACAGGCATGGCCTTGAAGTGAGAAAGACAGAACGTTCTCGCAATAGTACTGAGATAGCTGTGTCATCCAGCTCCGTGTATCCAATGGAGTTGACAGTGGCTTACCTTCTGCTCCAATGGAGACCAGCTTGACTCCTTTGCTAGCAATGAAGTCTAAGGCTTTGTTGACATTCGAGATTTTATGCACTCTCATTTTGCCTCTTTCTGGTTTAGCCAAACGTTCACCTGGTAAAAAAGAGAACAGGAAATAAGCCACTTTTTCAATTAACTTCTTCATTCTGTCTCAGTAAACAATTTAAATACACACAACAAACAAATGCTAGGATATATTTTGTTGCAAAACCAGAACTGTAATCTACATGCTTTTGCACCATTTTTGAGAGCAATTACAGAAATAAAATTTGACTAGTTTTCCAAATGAAAAAAAAAATCCTTTTACATAGTCAGTTAGTATCTCAAGGCTAAACTGTTCATCTTTACATAGTAGCATTCTACAATTGGGGAGTTGCTAAACTTAAGTATTTAAGTACTGTATATACTCAAGTATAAGCAGAGTTTTTCAGCCCTTTTTAGGCTGAAAAAAACCCTCATCAGCTCACACTCTAATTTATTATTTTATTCTGTTATTATTAATTTTATTACATTTATTATTTTACTCTATTATTGTTATTATTACATTTATTATTTTACTCTATTATTATTATTACATTTATTATTTTACTTCATTATTGTTATTATTACATTTATTATTTTACTCTCATTATTATTGGAAGGATATGTAAGCACATTTACATTAAAGAAGATTAGAATAATGGTTTAATCAGAGTTGGACAGACTTATCTTAAATTACAGTTTTATGTAAATATTCAAAAACATTGAACCTACAGATGCCGCAATTAATGTACTTTTATTGGTATCTATTTTTATTTTGAAATTTACCAGTAGTTGCGGCATTTCCCACCCTCAACTTATACTCAAGTGAATACGTTTTCCCAGTTTTTTGTGGTAAAATTAGGTGCCTTGGCTTATACTAGGGTTGGCTTATACTCGAGTATATACGGTACACAACCTCTAAAACAATACTGCTCCAAAAGGACTGTAACATGGGCTTTTTAAGATTAACTATGTATCAAAATACATATCCTTCCATGTTTCTAAAACTCTGATGCACCTAAGTATGATGCTAACAGTGGTGTATCATGATATTGAGGAACGGCTTTCCTCGTGGATTTGTTTGCTATATACCTGCAACCATTTGCCTTTATTGTGAGCCTTCAAGTCAGCTCTGATTTATACTGAACCTGTTTCTTCCATTCAGGCTGTGTGACTTGCCCAAGGTCACCCAGTGAGTTAACACAGAATCATTAAATTGAAAGAGGGCCATCCAGTTCGATATGGTTGAGTAGGGATTAAAATTGTGGCCCCCCCAGAGTCCTAGTCCAACACTCCAACCACTGTGCTACATGGACTATCTCTATCTCTTCATCAACTTCTATCTCCCACTTTTATCTCAACACCCCACTTTTACCCCAATAAGGTGCTCAAAGCTCTATTTAAAGACAGGCTGAGTGGCCATCAGTCAGGAGTGCTTTGGTCGTATATTATTGCCTTGCCAAGGACTGAACTGGATGGGCTTTGCGATCTCTTCCAACTCTATAATTCTCTTATTTTATTCCACTTTAAATACACAAGACTGTAGTTCAGGATAACGGCTATAATTGAAAATGCAACAAACTGGTGTGAGGACTTTGTCTGAATTTACGGAGGGATGTTTTAATGCATTAGTCCTGCTTTTGTTGCAAGGGACTCGTACCATTGTCTTTCTTGCTCTCCTTCTGTTCCCTGTCCTTTCGTTTCAAAACACTCTCTGCACAGACTTTACAGCTAGCATTTACTTTGAACTGCTGCCAAAAGCAACTAGAACGAAAGTTGAGAGAGACAGAACAACAGCCCCATTTACTTCTAACAAGATCCCATTGACTCTCCTTCTGTGGTCATGGCACTTCTTACCAGACGATGCCACAACAAAGTGGCTGTTTGTCCTATGTTTCAAAAGGGATTACAGACATATGCCAAGGGTAACGTGCATGACCCCATATTGCTAAACAGAAAAGAAGGGGTCTCCAGCCTGTTTCTTCAACAAGGAATTAAAGGACAAAGTGTAGTTTTAAAGAGATCAAGAATACTACAGCCCTACTTACACAGTTTAATACAACATAGTGCCAAGTATGCCACGAGGGAAGTTGTGAGCTATGCTGGATATGTTTAACATGTAAATCCTAAAAGGGATTTCAGAACAAAATACAGCTTGGAAAATATTGCTTTTTTAGTGTATGATTTCCAGCAACCTTGTTTTTGTTGAGGAATTCTGAATGTAGTAGTTCAGAAAAAGTAACTTTCCCAAGCTCTAGATGGAGAATGAGAGTCAAAAATGCAACACAACAGAGTATTTTGGGCATGGATATGTAAGGGCCCACTAAACTGAAAGCACTAGACATTTGCACCTTAAGTCACATGGAGCAGCGAAAAAACCACTCCTCCTATCATAGTCTGTGCCCTGATTCCTCTATGCTTTTGTCTCTTTCCTGTATGCAGGAGCAAGCACTTTGCTAACAAGATAAACAAGACAAAAATAAATAACACAAGGACTCAGCTCAGCAAGTTTCTGCCAAGCATCAAAGCAAGCCATGGGGCTCAGGCTGCTCAGTAACTGGCTTCCATATCTGAAGTTTGTTTTTTAAAAAATTCTGGATTGTTTTGATTCAAACTGAGAATTATGGATATTCCCTAGTAAACCAAGGCAATGTGTTAAAGAGAAAAGGGTGGGGCGTACATATACAGTACACACACCTGAGAAGCATAGTTGAGTGTACAGCCAAAAAAACTGGGGATCTAACTAAGGCAATCACTTTGGGGAGGTGCCAGCTTTCGTCTTGTCTTCTTTCTTGCTTGCTTTGGGTAAACACCGTTGGCACATCTTCTACCCTGCCAGGTGGTGCAATGTGGTGAGAAATTACTTGTTTAAGTACTTTACACTTCTGTTAAGAGTGCTGGATGCCACCTTCCAAGCCTTTGAAGTTACTTTCACTCGCAAATTTCAAATCTTGCATCCTCAATTAGAGATGCTCGCCATTTTTGTATCTTTTTCATTATCATTAGGCAAGTTTGTTTGAATGATTGATACATTAGCAGACCGAATTGTTTTCTTCCAAAACATGTACAAACATGGTTTTGAATGGTTTCAGCCTTTTAAGTTGTTAAATAGTTTAATATGCTTTCAATCTGTATAAATTTGTCTAGAAAAGAATGACCAACATGGTAAAGGTCTGGAAATCCGACCCTAAGCTGAATAGTTTTAGGAAGTTGAGAATCTGAAGAAGACTGAAAGATGACAAGATAGCTATCCTTAAATATTTGAAAAGATGTCATGTAGAAGCGGAAGCAAGCTTGTTTTCTCTTTTTCTGGCAACCAGAACATGAACCAGTGACTTCAAATTACAAAAAAAGAGATTCTACCTAAATTTTGCAAAGACCGTCTTGACTATAAAAGCCGTTCAACAGCAGTATAAATTGCTTCAAATATCTTCTTTGGAGGTCTCTAAATAAAGGTTGAAGGTCACCTCTCAAGAGTACAGCAAAACTTAGTCATGTAGATTCGGGCTAAAAGGCATACTGTTTTTGGGTCCATTTTCATCTGATCCCTCATTTCATTTACCAGAAAGTTACCCGAAAGGGGAGGGGTATTTTCCGTTTCATTCAGCAGAGATTTGGCCCATTGGCTACAATGGGAAATTTTAAAGGCTCAGTCTTCAGCCAATTTAATGCCTATCTGCATGAAACCTACCACATTTGTAGACCACATTTATAACTGCAGGCCTGCCAAGTTTCAAAACAATTCACCAATCTACTAATTTTTTGAATTATTTTAAGTTTTAAGCATAACATTTTTTAAAATACGACAAACCACAAGAGAGGGTTTTGGGAATTGTGGTCACCAGTTGTATCTTCTCAGCCAATCAGAGCATGGACACCACCAGGCTTTTTACATGAGAGACACAGAAAGAGAAAAACTTCAGCTTCCATCATGCTCCAAGAAGAACTTTCAATGGCCACCCTATGCTAGCGCCACTGGGAAAGCGAGTTCTAGGGTCCTCTCTGGAAGAAGAAGGAACTTTCCAAGGAAAAATGGAGGAGGCTTATTCTATCAGGGAGAGAAAAAGACACCACAGATCCCCCTGCCTCAGGTATTTTGTGGACTTAACTCTTTTCAAAAATATTGTCTCTCTGAATTTGTTTTACTGGCCTTTTTGTCTCTCTCTTCCCCTTTCTGTTTTAAAAAATTACATGAAAACGGCGCTCTGAAAACTACAAATCTTTTCATTAACAGTTATTCAGGCCCAACTCTATTGTAACTATGTGTTCCTGCATGACAGAGAGCTGTAGTACATGGTCTTTGAATGTAGTCCCTTCTAATTGCATGATTCAGAATAACTTCTATCAGTTTAATTTGTTTAATAGTATAAGTGATTTTACTTGTACATAACCCTGAGATCCCATGATATATGGGAGGGAATAGATGAATACACAAGCTTGTGGTTTCCCTCAAATAATTTAAGTGCTGGATAATGACTGCCTTACCTGATATGACTTCAAGGAGCAACATAAGTTTAAGGCCATCCCTGAAGTCTTCTTCTATGTTCTCAATCTGTGTGCCTGCTTTCCGGAGGTGAGAATTACACCAGGCTGTAAATGTCTGAAAAGAAACAAAAAGGAAACAAATTGGTGAAATTTGTCTCCTATGAGAATTTACAGTGTTGCTAAAAAGAAATCCGTAACATTTCAAAAGCAAGGATGTTTTGACATACTGAGCTAATGTCAGGAAATAATTAGATCCATCAGTTCTTCATGTACCACTTCTGCAGGACAAAAAAGTCATACAGACTTTTTAAAAAAGAGCACTTCGTGTACATGAGTACAAATGCTTTGTAAGGAAAGAACATTTGCCAATTTGCCACTCAACCTGAGTCTAAGTCAGAGATTCAAATGCTGCTACACTGACTCAAAACAGGTATTTTATTCACCTTTCCAATGGGACCACTAAAAGCTTAGCTGCTTCCAGGGGAAAAAACAAGTCCCCCAAGCTTGCTTCCAGTAAGTCTACTATGGCTACATCACAAGATTTAGGGATAGACACCAGGTGGGAAAACTTGGAGCTAGGAACATTAATGAAAAATCTCAGTTACCAAAACCTACAGGCACACTCTTTCAGCTTCATATGAAAACAATGGCCTATCTCCCCTGAATAAATATTGGTAAGAAAGCCTAATGGTAGGGTCACAATAAGTCAGAGTAAGCTTCAAGATACTGTACATTACAACATGACTGAGAATAAATATACTGTGGCAAGTTATCTGAGTTACATTTTTAGTGGAGTACATTTTTACCCACTGGAGGCTTTTTAAATGAAGCTATATTGACTTTATATGGCACTGGCACTTTAAATCTTCGCTTTCATGGACTTGCCATCACTATATGCAGGAATCAGGCTTCCTTTTATTGATTTCCACCCCTCAACAGATGTAGTTGCCATGCCAACTATATTCTGCCCAATCACAGCTGAAACAAATTTTATTACACTGAAAATTATTATTTCTCCTCATTGTGCAGATATGCAATGTTCTTTATTTTGCCACTAAAACTAATTACATCAAAACTTACTGAGTTTTTATATAGTTTCTTATTATCATGTATATATTTCACTATACAATTATAAAGATTACTACTGGAGTCTGTAGCACATTGACAATTGCTAAGAAATTTGGTTAGCATGCATATTTAGTTGCTTTGGAATATGTGCTTTATTGGAGTTTATTAAATCATGTTATAATTGTTTCATTAACTTGATTTTCCATAAAGTTTGTTTACTACCCCCAAAGAGATGATATGTTTTTGAGAATAGTCTCTCTCACATACAAATGTGATTTCAGGGAAACATTTTTTCTTTTCCTTTCAAGGACAATTCCTGGGCAATTTTTTAACCATATTTTAATTAAAATATGACAGGATTACTCATGGCCAAATAAGAGTTGCTTTATGTGTCAGGCTGAAATATTGATGGATGAATTGATTCCTATACACACACGCCCATCACATACTTTTATTACCAATTAACACTTCCAGGACAGCTCACAATCAAAAGTAAAAAATACATACTTTCAATCCCAGATAACGAGCAGTATGAAAAAAATTCCGTGTCATCACAGCATGAAACAGAAATATAATCTCACCAATATAAACCTCACTTGCCTTGTTTCCAACAGACCTCACAACCTCTGCCATAGATGTGGGTGAAACGTCAGAAGATAATGCTTCTGGAACATGGCCATACAGCCCAGAAAACTTACAGCAACCCAGAAATATAATCCATTTAAAATTATATACACTGATGTAAGATCTCCTTCCAATGCTCTTATTTGCTAAACTGTAACTGTACTCAAAGATCACACCGAATTTCCCACATATTCAACTCTAACACATCTGTGATTCTCAAACTAGGATCTACAAGTGTTAATAGACAACAGCTCCAACAATCCTTGGCCATTAGCCACTCTGCTTAGAAACCCCTGAGAACTGAAGTACTACAACTTTTGGAGACCCAAAATTAGAAAACACAAAATCCTTAGGCATGGCTTCAAAGCTATAGAACATCCTGACTAGGAATAAGTGAACACTACCCTCCTTGTCTCACGCTACATTTTACACAAAAAGCAGTGCGTTCCAAGCAGGAGGGAGAGGAGAAATGATGCCATGTAGCAGCTATAAATAACAGAAATATGCTGCACTGGAGAAAAGCCATCAATCTGAAGTTCGTCATCAAGTAAAGAGTTCATTTAGATAATGGGTTTACAAAATACTAAGAGTCCACAGAGTCATGCCCCCCAAAGGTGTCCCATTTGTCTGGCCTGGGCAGCTTTTAAAAAGAAAGGTCCATGAGATGGAAGTGAAGCAAGAAAATTGTCAATTCATTAGCTGGCTCTTAATTAGGAGAAAGCTGAATAAGGACTAAAATTAGAGCTTTGTGCCTGAGTGTACCACTCATTTGAGAGTGTACCAGGAAGTCTAAGAAGAGGCCTTGAAACTGAAACGTAGTGTTTCCTCTTAAATAACAGGAAACACCACTTTGCTACAGCGGTTGATACCAAGGATTTGATATAGCAAAACGTTGCCAGGAACATGTGAGGTTGATGTTTTAGCCACCGAGTGAACAGAACTAGGAAAAGAAGACTAAAAAATGGCAAATTAAGCATCTAGACATGAGCACATCAGATTGCTCCTTGGTCTCTGAGCTTGACACAGCCTCTGTATTATCAGTTTTTCACACAACAGGCATATATGCCTATACTTTGCAGAGGGAGTGGATCTAAAGCAGTGGTTCCCAACCTTTGAGCCTCCAGGTGTTTTGGACTTCAACTCCCAGAAATCCCAGCCACCTTACCAGCTGTTAGGAACTGTGGAAGCTGAAGTCCAAAACACCTGGTTGGGAACCACTGATCTAAAGGCTTGGATAAAACCATAAGTATTGGTTCTGTTGAAATGGAAGTCATATGTAGTTCTGTTGTGTAAAATAAGATTTAAAGATTCAGCTGTATGCTGGTCTGTTCTCGGGCCCTTCCAGACAGGCCCATCTCTCAGAATATCAAGGCAGAAAATCCCACATTATCTGAGTGTGGACTCAGGGTCCTTCCACAGAGCCCTATTTTGCAGAATACCAAGGCAGAAAATCCCATAATATCTGCTTTGCACTAGGTTATCTGAGTCTACACCCAGATAATGTGGGATTTTCTGCTTTGAATATTCTGGGATATAGGGCTGTGGGAAAGGGCCCCTAGTGAGTGTGATCAACTCCACTTTGACATCTCCCCAATGCCTGTATTGTTTGTTTGGTTCTGTTATTTGTGTTATGCTATAAATGCTGTAACTCCAGTATTATGTGCCATGGGCCAACAACCAGAAGTTATGGTTACATTCAGTGCCAGACCCTGAGAAGATCTTAAACAACAAACAATCTCTGAATACATTTGTGCTGCTCACAGAGACCTCAGATAAGGATCATCATGTATGCATGAGATATGGAAAAGCATTTTTGCTCATGCATGCACTGTTGCTGTCTGTGTAACTTTATGGTTCTATAAAATACTGATGTACTTGAAATAAACATTGTCTCAGCCAGAGCTGTGAGGAAGTTGGACTCAAATCAGTGCTGCCACATGGTATATCCTTTGGCCAAAGTTACTGAGTGTTTTCCATTTGCTTTGCTATTCAGTTTCAGAGCTCATCCCACCTTTGTATCCTATCAGGGAGGATACTGTGGGGCCAATATTTCAGTCCTATCCAACAACTGAGTGCAAAATATCCAAGGACATTACCCAAGCAGGACAAGATGATACACCTTGCTTAAATTTACTCCCATATTTCTACTATTACATGATAATTATGCCCACTGAAAATTAAATTGACTGGTTTCATGCTGCTGCTGTAGGATGTTTTTCTTAGTGATCAATCAATTTCTTCCAAGAAGCCCACAAGCCTGATGTGGATGTCCAGCTCCCCTGGTGGCCAGAAGCTGGAATGTTAAATTGCCTCTGTGTCTGTCTATATATGTTGTGTTTCTATGGCATTGAATGTTTGCCATGTATATGTACATTGTAATCCGCCCTGAGTCCCCTGCGGGGTGAGAAGGTCGGAATATAAATACTGTAAATAAATAAATAAATGTCACTGGTATATCCCAAAGAGTGGGATGTTGAAGCATGTTTTCACTGAATCTGTAATTGCAAATAGCCACCATGATTAACTAACTTATTGTTAGTTAATGCATCTAACCACTGGGGCAATTACAAACATGCTACAGGCAGTTCCTAAGTTATAAACAAGATAGGTTCTATAGATTTGTTCTTAAGCAGAATTTGGACATAAGTTGGAACAGGTACATTTCTTAAGTGTAACTCCAGACACATATATTTGCTTTGAATACCATAGGGAAGGGGTCACTCCCTTGTGCTGTTTGTTTTGCTGTCTGTGCCCCTGTTCAGAAGATTTCTACCTCGCTATCTGTCCCTGTAACAATTTTTGAAAAAAATGGCTTGTTCTGAAAACCAGAATTGTTGATAAGCTTCAGTGGAGACAGCTTTTCCCCATGATAACCCTAGGAGTGAATTTCCCTTCCTAGGGATTTCCTCTCAGTTCCTGTTGTCTAACCCCCATTCGTAAATATGAGTTGTATAAAAGTTGGATGTCTCTAACTCGGGGACTGTTTGTACCATGTGAAGATATTTTTCTTTTCTTTTATCAGTTTTGAATCTCCAGTCACCCCCAGATTGTGGAATGACCTGCCAGGAATGTTTAGGCAGCTCCATAGTTTTTATATGTTCTTGCAACTGATGGCATGTGTTGTCTTGTTAGTTTTTGCACCCTGCCTCAATCTACAGGGAGAGGATGGTATGAAATAAACATTGTTGTTGTTATTCTTGTTGATAATATCATAAATGTGGCTGTGCTACATATTTGTATAAAGGTCATTTTAAGATTGGCAATCTTACTTTCAGTCACTTGTCTGAGCATACCAAGTCTATAATTTATCTTTTTCATAACTGTCACACACAGCGGGTTGACATTTTCAAGGAGTTATGAATTGTGACCCAAAGACAGCGTTCCCAGTTAGTCATCAACCATTCAGTATCTACCTGCATATAA